TGAGTCCCTGGATGGGATTCACAGGTATGATTGTAAATTGAGTATTTCTATCTATCCTATCCTCTTGTACTTTTCCCCCTCTTTGTTCCTAACCAAGCCCCTCTTTACAAATAAGATTTACAAATTTACAAATTATTTTACAAATAAAAAGGTGGAAAAAGAAAGTTTGCCTGATCTCTGTGATCTATAAATGCTATGGCCTATTTCACTTCTGTTGCTCTTCTTCTCTTCTTCTTTCCCCACCTTTGGTCTCAGGTTTTTATACTTTCTTCCTTTACTTTTAAGCCTTTGTTGACCATTCCTCTCTCAAATATTGGAATTTGTTTGCAAAATAGGTCTAATAATGTTTATGTCCACCTACCTCACAGGGTGTCTGTGAGAAAATCATTTTGTCAGTTTGAATTATTATAAAGTGAAATTGAGCTATTTTTATATGAATTGGGGAGATCAGAATATGGTTAATTTAGATGTGATTCTTTAGCAATCACTGCTGTTCTTGGTTTCTTAAAAGGTAACTATGAAAATGAAAATATATTTTTTACCAAAATGGTATTTTTCTTTTTCTCTTAAAAATATTGTTTATTTTTAAACATTTTTTCAAATTTTGAGCTCTAAATTCTCTCCCTCCCTCCAATCCTTCCCCCAAATAATGAGAAGGCAAACAATATGATATCCATTCCAAATGTGTAATCATGCAAAACATATTTTTATATTAGCCAGAAAACATACAATTTTAAAGTGCAAAAAGGAATTTGGTTTATGTTTTCCTGTTGCTGTCAATGAAAGCAGACTGTTCCTAAAGAAACATCATCATAATAAGTGTACTCAAAGTCTTAAGTGGGAAAGAAGTTGTGATATATATAAACACTGTGATGGAAGAGAGTTTGGTTCCTCAAAGCCTGGATTTTACCTGCTTTGTGTTTTAATGTTTAATTGAAAACAGGTTATTCTTCTTCAAGTAGCACTTGGTGTGGCTTAAGTTTGAGGCAATCCAACATTCTGTCATTTAACAGCAACAACAACAAATTCTGAACCAATCTATCTTTTTGAGTTCTCAACTTCCAGTCTGGAATTGGGGATGGGAGATGAAATAAAGAAGAAGGGCTGATCAGGAAGGGCAGGGTTTGACTGACAGATAACAATGAAAACTGTCAAAATAAAGTACTTTCATCAATCCATATGTTCCATTACTGAATACTTTGTAGGAGAAGCAAGGAAAGAGATCAAACCACAAAATATTTTGTTGGTTTAATTATTTAGGCCAGGAACTCATAATTCTCAGCTGCCAATAACAAGAGTCCCTAAAGACTGCTAAGCCTGATGGACAGCAAACAGATGGGCACAGAGCATGTATCATTTTCATTCCTCTGACTGGAGTTGAGTTTATGTAAGATAACAGACTCAAGCAATACTAAGAAGATAACTGGAGAGCTTCCTGAAATTGCTTGCCTTACAAAGGCCTCATTTTTTCCAAGGATGAGCTAGTTTGAAACAATTTCCCCTATGGATTTGAATGAAACAATTTTCCCCTATGCACACAGACCAACTTTTTTTCCATCTCAGCTATGTCCCACCCTTTAACCCTCTTTTTCCTAAAAGGGGGTGTTTCCATAGTGCCAGAGTTGGCATTCAGAAGGATCTTCCCAATGGGGAATCCAAAGCTTCCTTCTGCATGCCTGGTTTCCAAACTCATTTTCCCAAAGGTCTTCTTTGCCCCGCCTTCCTTTCCATGTTCTTTGGGGAAGGAAATGTTGTTTTCAGGGTGTCCTGTTCTGAATAAATATGCATACACACATACATACGCATATATACATATACTTTGTGTAACATATATGTCACACACATATATAACTAACATATTCAACCAAGCTGGCTGATTGACAACGTTTCAAAATAATCTTCTCTACTGACATCTCTCCAAGGGAGATTCATGATGTTGTTGTTCGGTTGTTTCCATTGTATCTGACTCTACAAGACCCCATTTGGGGTTTTCTTTGCAGAGATACTGGAGTGGTTTGCCATTTCCTTCTCCAGTTCATTTTACAGGTGGGGAAACTGAGGCAAACAGGGTTGAGTGACTTGCCCAGGGTCACACAGCTAGTAAGTATCTGAGGCCAGATTTGAACTCAGAAAGATCAGTCTTCCTGACTCCAGGTCCAGCAGTCTATCCACTTCACCACATACTTGCCCTCAGCAACTGTAATGATCTGAAAAGAGCATTGAATTTGGAGTCAAACCTGGGTTCAGATCCTAGCTCCATCACTTACCAACTCTGTCACCTTGGGTAGGTTCACTGTGCCTTTCTGGGCTTCAGTTTCTTAATCTGTAAAATGAAGGGCCCTTCTCCCTCCCCAGGTCTATCCCCTTCCTACTCTAGGTCCTTTAACAATGGTTATTAACTATGCCTAATAATTGATCATATTATAAGGTTACTGTTTTTATTATTAACTTGAATTTATAGTTATGACATTTATCTCACATATCACCAAGTACAGCATAATAGTTACCATTTACATAGCACCTACTATGTGCCAGGCACTGTGCTAAGTATTTCATAAATATTATCTCTTTTGATCCTCACAACAACTGTGGGAGGTGAGTGCTACTATTATCCCCATTTCATAAATGAAGAAATTGAGACAGAAAGACGTTAAGTGATTTGCTCAGGGTCACACAGCTAGTAAGTGTCCGTGGTCAGATTAGAACTCTGGTCTTTTTGACTCCAGTCTCAGTGTTCTATCCATTGTACCACCTAGCTGCCCAAGAATAGAGCCTGTCCCATTGGATAATAATAATAGCTAACATTTATGTGTTATATGTTATATGTGCCAGGCACTGTGCTAAGTACTTTACAATTATTATCTCATGTGATCCTCACAACAACCCTGGAAAGGAGGTACCATATATTAATTTCATTTTACAGATGAGGAAACCAGATGTTAAGTGACTTGCCCAATGTTACACAGCTAGTAAGCGTCTGAGGTGGATATGAACTCAGGTCTTCTGGACTCCAGGCCCAGTGCTCCTACCAGCTTGGTAGCTGGCCCGGAACAGGGTACCTCTTTTAGTTAGGAAGACCTTGGTTCAAGTTCTGCCTTTCACAAATACTGGTTACATGTGAGAGGCATGATTCAGTGGAATGTTGGGTAGTCAACAAGCATTTACTAAGTGTTTACCATGTGCCAGGCCCTGTCCTAAGTCGTGGGGATACAAATACAAGCAAAAAAAAAAAAAAAAAAAAGCTCTCAAGTAGTGTACCATTCAGAAAGACAATACACCAAAGAGAACTGAAGATGGAGGTGGAGTACCCACACAGGGCATAGTGGTGAATTCTGGAGCTTCAGAAGGAGAGCCAGGGGAGAAAGGCTGGAGGGGCCAGCATTGGAGCCCCTGGAAGGAGGTCACCCATGGGAGACAGAGGTTACAGAGAGGAAGGGCTGTTCCCAGGTGAGAAGGCAGCAAAGTCAGAAGCAGAGCTGGGAGGGGAAAGAGCAATGGTTCCAGAGTCAGAGGCCCTGGGTTCAAGTCCCAACTTTTGATCCTTACTACTTATGTAACCTTGGGCAAATCACTTAATTTTCCTGGGCCTCAATTTCTTCATCTGTAAAATGACAGTGAAGTCCCTTCCAGCTCTAGCTATAATAGTTGTGTAGCCTGGGAAGACTTATAAATGGTAGAAGAGATGCAGTTCTGTACAAGGAGGGGGAGTTTCCTCTCTGGGAGGTCCCAATGCCAATGAAATCATAGAACCAGAAAAAAAAGAGACATTTGTGTAGTCTCTAAAGAGTTTTTCTCTCACGTTTTTTCTCTCCCTGCCTCTATACTATACTTCGGATCTGCTGTGAATTTAATCCAGTTTTCCTCACAAGATTCACTGTTTTTCTTCACCTTTTTTTTTTTTTTAAACCCGTTTCTGTTAATAGTCTCCTCCTACACCTAAGAGAAAGACAGAATCGAGTTGTGAAACTGCCTGCTCCGGATACCCCTACTAGATCTATACCTCACAGAGTTCAATGAAAGAGGAGAAGAACCCACGTGTACAAAAATATTTATAGTTGCTCTTTTTGTGGTGGCAAAGAACTAGAAACTAAGGGGGAAGGGCATCAGTTGGGGAACTGGCTGAACTAATTGTATATGAATGTATGTATATGACTTGTGCTTTTAAGAAATGAAGAAAGGGACGGTGTTGGAGAGACCTAGAATGACTTGTATGAACTGATGGAGAATCAAGTGAGCAGAACCAAGAGAACAATTTCTATAGTACAGCCCCATTGGAAGGACTACCAGCTCTGAAAGACCAGAGCAATGCGATGACCAACCGCAGACCAGAAGACGACGATGAAGTAATCCATCGTTCCCCAGACAGCAAGATGATCAGTCCCGGGTGCTGAATGGGACATACACCCACATCCGTGGGTCGGGGATCTGCTGTACTTGATTACACATATGTGTTCCAGGGATTTTTCTTTTCCGATGGGAGGTGGGGAGAAGCGGGAGAGAGAGAGAGAGAGAAAATCAATATCTGTTAATTGAAAATTTTTCAAGAAAGAAAGTCATGCCAGTTCCACCCGGAGGTGGCCCAGCCGGTCAGGTAACGGCTTGGGACTAGGTTTCCTCCTTAAGCTCCTGCAGACAATGCTCGTTTTGTTCCACCCCCTGCCTCCGGCCTGCTGGACGTCCCCTCCCTTCCCTAGGCTCCAGGGGGGAGAAGCCCGACCCACCCTGCCAGTCTCGGTCTCTTCTCCCCCCCCTACCCCGCACCAGCCCAAAGGGTTTCCCCCCTTCCCTTTTTAAGAGGGAGGCAGATACCGGACAGACACCGCCCCCAACTCCTGTCCCACCCCTCGAACCCAGCTCCCGCCCCCCTCCCTCCTCCCCTCCCCCCAGCAGACTTCCTCCTCTCCCCTCCACTTCTCTCCAGCATCCCCCAACCTTTCCCCTCCCATGCCACCCCCTCCCCGGCTCATTTACATCCCGGAGCCGCTGGCCCAGCCCTGCCCCGCCCCGCCCGAGCCCGAACTAAAGCGACGTGTCCTTGTCCCCCGTGGGCAGCCCGAACCCTCTGGCCCCGCGCACCTGTGACGGCCGAGCACCTGTTCCAGCCCCAGGCCTCGGATCTGCAGGTAAAGGGGCGGGGGCGGGGGCGGGGGTCGCGCGCCGTCACCTGGGGCTGGGACCACTAACCTGGCCTAGGGGGTGGGGGATAGGAAGGTTGATTGCCCTTGTTCTCACACTTGGGGATGGGGGCGCTGGAGAAGGCAAATGGTGAGACTGGTGCTTTCTGAGTTAGCGGTAGTCCTATTGCCGCCTCTCGCTTCCTATTCCGCTGACTCTGGCAGAGCATTTACAAAGGTTCCCACTTCTATCCCCCTGCCCATATCTATGGGTCACGGAGGGAGAAGGCAGGGACCCCACTCGCCAGAAGCTGTCTGTGGGAGTTCATGCTCCTAAGCCAAGTCTCCAGGGATTTATTGTTTGGGGATGGGAGGGCTGCGCGGGGTGGGGGAGAGTGGCACATTTTGACAGGTCTCTTGGTGGGGTCGGGAGGCTGGGGCCCAGAGCTGCCTGTCCATCTGAGCCTTTGAATGTCTTGACTCCTCTCCCTTGTAACTTCTGCCCCCTAATGTCTAAAATCTTCCTGGCTACCCTGCTGTCGTCAGAGCTACTGTTGCATTCTTCTTGGACTCCACTCTATTTTTGTGGTCTTCGATTGGCATGTTTATGAAGAGCAGGGCTTAAAGGTGGGGAGGGGGCTCTTTGTATGTGCTTTCACGCGGGAACACGGGGGGAATGAGATGATGTGTCCATGAGGTTAGCAATCAGTGGACGTCAGAGATGTCAATTTCAAGGATGAATGTCCAGGCTTTAAAGAAAGTGAGACATGTATAACTTTTATCAGATGGCTTGCTGTCTTGGGGAGATGGGGAAGAAAGGGTGACCGAGGAGGAAAGTGAGGGAGGGAGAAAAATTTGGAACTCAAAATCTTACAAAAAAAATGAATGTTGAAAATTGTCTTTACATGTAATTGGAAAAAAATACAATTTACATTTTTTTTAAGTGAGAAATCAGTACATCTTGTCTTGGAGAGGGCAAAAGGGTGAAAGTCACACAGAACCAAAAAAGGTCCTACAAAAGGAGACAGGGTCACAAAGGTACTTGTGGGGAGCCCCACTGATCTCATTGCATAAATCTGAAAAAGTTCCATAATCAATCAGTATACACGTATTAAGCACTTACTACACAGGCATTGTGCTAAGCACTTAAGACACAGAGAAAAAGCAGTAACAGTCACTGTGGGAGGCAACATATTAACACAATCACAATAAATACAAAGTAGATAGAAGATACTTCAAAGAAAAGGCATTAAGAAAGAGATCAGGTATGGCTTCTCTGAGTCCTTCTAATGATGTTGAGCCCTCCTTGACAAGTGTGGTCATTCAGTCCAACACTGTGAACTGTCTGTGTCTTATTGTTAACAACCCATTCATGATTGGTGCCCAAAGATTTTTAAAAAGCCCTTTTATTTTTAGGAGGAAAAAAAATTGGAGATAAGCCTGGGTTGCCATTTCCCATCTTCTACTGAAATATGAAGACCAAAAACAAACCCACAAAGCGCAGGATTTTGGCGGACAAAGAGACATTTCATGGTGAGCCAACATCCAGTAAGCAGGACCTGGAGAAATGTTTGAGGAACAGGGACAGGCGGAAGGGGGAGAAGGCTGAGGGCAGCAAGGTAGGGACTGCCAAGAAGAAGTCATCCTCGGGCAGCCGGGAAAGCAATTTGAGGAGGTTGGAGAGTAATGAGAGGGAGAGGCAGAGGATGCACAAACTCAACAATGCCTTCCAGGCCTTGCGAGAAGTCATTCCCCATGTCAGGGCAGAGAAGAAACTCTCCAAAATTGAGACCCTCACTCTGGCCAAAAACTATATCAAATGTCTGACCTCCACCATCCTCAACATGTCCAATGGTTGTCTCCCTCCCCTGGAAGGGGAAGGATCTGCTCACAACTCTAAATTCTACCAGCACTATCAGCAGCAGCGAGGAGATGAGGAAAGTGAAGACCACCTAAAGAAATACTCTACCCAGATCCACAGTTTTCGGGAAGGGAGCTAGACGGACCTCCTCCCTCTGGACCAACATCCTGACATCTTCAGGCAAGGAGCAATGGACTCCGAAAAGGTGTAACTGTGTCATCACCTTATTTTTATTGTCTGTTACATTTTGACCAACATCTCAAATTATCATGCACAGACTACTGAGCGATTTTTTTTCCCATACAGAAATAGTAAAAGTGGTTCATCTTCCTTCTAAAAAATAGCCAATTACTGAGAAAAACTTGAACTGACAGCCCCTTGCTCAATCACAGTCCCCAAAGGGCATTTTCCATCGCTCAGCCTTAGGCACAGCGTGACTCTCACTCCCCTTGGGTGTCCTCAGACAGGTGCCCAAGGCCTGATTCTTGTAGCATCCATTTGAAACATGCCCTGAGGGGTAGGAAATGGAAACGGTTGGCTCAGCTGGAGTTTGTAGTGACCGGGGTGGTGCATTATTCCCATAAACATTTTGACCTTTGTAACTGAAACATTTCTGACCCTCTCTTGTGTGACAGATAATCTTCTAAGAGATTATTTTTTGTATATATCACCAACAGAAATTGAAGCCTCAGTCTACCTTTTTTTGCAATGAAGCCCATTTTTGGTGGGAGGGTCAGGAACTGTGATTTATTTGATTTATGTAGGGAACTCCACTAATGCAAATGGCAATTCTATAATTCAATACCTTATAGTGTTAGTGACTTGACCACAGTCAAGAATACGTCAGATGTGAGTAGTGAGCCCATCTTCCTGACTTCAAGGCCAAACCTCTACTCACAATGCCCTGTTGCCCACTTCAATCAATATCATCCTATGATTGTTGGTGTTATAGTATTTGAGTGCTAGAAGGGACCTTCATAATTATTTAATTCAATTCTCTCATTTTGCAGATAAGGAAACTTGAGGCTTAGACCAGTAAGGGGCTCACCTATTGAGAGTGTAGCAGGGTGGGGTGAGAGTTTTTTGCTTCTAGCTGATTATTGATGGAACAGAAAACCTCTAAAACTCCAGAGCAGGAGCTCTTAACCATTTTAATGTTATGGATCCCATTGGCAGTCTGGTGAAGCCCATGAACCCCTTCTCAGAAGAATGTTTTTAAATAATTGAAGGAAATGTAGAAGGTAGGGAAAATAAAGCAATTTTTTTTTCCAATCCAAGTTCACAGACCTCCCTGAAATCTATCTAAAGGCCCCTTTGGGACCTTTGAATGCCAGGTTAAAAACTTGTTTTAGGGGGAGTTTTGCTAGGAAGGCAGGATTTATATCTTTTTTCTCCTCCTTATGGTTTTCTATAAGACTGTCTCTTGGAAGAAGAAGGATGGAACCAAATCTAAGTTTGTGAAACACACTGTTGTGAGATCTGTGCTGAAATTCTTGCAATTCACTAATGTAGACACAAAAATCATGAGACAGTGCCTTGGAAAGGACTTTTTGTACTTGGTATAAAAAGCACACTTTATGCAGAGTTAGGGAGAAAATCCTCTAGGTCCTGGGCACTAGGCCACTCTAAGTGTTAGTATGCAGACTTTAAATGTTTTAAAATTTCTCCTTAAAGAGATCCTTAAAGTATCTGTCCTTGCAGAAGAAAAATCTGTTGCTTTTCTTCATGCAGAAATGCTGGCTTTCCCTTGTAGTCAGATTGTCCTGTTCTTCCAAGGGCTCAGAGTTTTGCCAAGCTCCATTCTGCACCCTTTTCTGGTTGGGATGCACTCTACCAACAATTCTTCGAATAGTTGTTTGTGTATTGTGTATTGTTCCAGGTGAGGGATGATGGGGGAAACTGCACACTTCCTCTATCTGCAGCTGCACACTTCCCTTGGCACCCCCCACCCCCAGATGGGTATCAAGTTGGGTAGTCAGGTAAGAAGGGACATGGTCCCTTTGGCTCCTGTAGCGTCCCGGTGGGCTGCTCTGGCACTGAGGACCAGACCGTATAAACAAGGACCGTTCAATTCCTTAGATACATTTCCTTGTGTTTCATAGAAGAGGGAGGTGGAGACAGGAGGGGTGGCACAGGGGTGCTTTTGCCTCATGAAAACAATAGTATTTCTTGCATAGGAGAGAATAATGTAAGATTGTGTTTTCTACTTGGCACATAGTAGACTCCATAAATACTACATGCTTGTGTGGGGATAGCTGGAATTCTCGGTATGATTCTCTTTGGAAGGATAGAGGAAGATCTTCAGGAGAATTCAGGAGAATTGTAAAGTTCATGGGAGCCTATAGTGTCCCTGAGCATGTGGGAAGCTGATAAATGTTAAAATGTTATTTAATTGTATTATAGTATAATTATGTAATATGACATGTGATCACTGAGAGTTCTATGCAATCATCAGGGAAATGTGCTGGGACTTTCTTGCAGATTGCTGGTTAAGGTTGGAAACTTAAAACACAACTCTAGATGTGTTTTTTGGGGGGCAGCTAGATGGTGCAGGGGATAACACACCAAGCCTGGAGTCAGGAAGAGCTGAATTCAAATGTGACCTCAGACATTTACTAGCTTTGTGATTCTGGGCAAGTCACTTAACCCTGTTTGCCTCAGTTTCCTCATCTGTCAAATGAGTTGGAGAAGGAAATGGCAAACCACTTCAGTATCTTTGCCAAGAAAACTCCAAATGGAGTCACAAAGTCTCATATAAATGAAACAAGGGTGGAATGTTTTCAGTAAGGGGCTAGAAACAGGTTTCTAGTCCCCTACTAAAAAGGATTGTTGACAAACTAATAGCTACTTGACCATGAGCAAATCACAACCTCTTAGCCTCAGACAACTCTCTCTCCAAGAGCGAGCCGCCTCCCACATCACTGTTCAAATCACAGGTCCCGGATGTATTGACTCATTTTCAAGAAACTCTCTGTTTTGTCTAGTGCCAAATCATGCCCTGTTTAAACACTCAGTAGGTATTTTATTACTATTTCTTGTCAACCTCCTACTGGCTGTCTACCAGACAATCCTTTATGATTTCCCTTTCTTCCCACTGGCCTGTCCCTTGAGGCAAAACTTAACAAAGTGAATGAGGCTTAAGAGTCTAGAGAGCTAGGTTCAAATGTTGCCTCAGATACACAGAGAGCTGTGTGACCTTGGGCCAAGTGACAGCCTCTCTGAATTTCTGTTGGCCTAGAGTAAAAGAACAGATCACATTTATATGGCCATGGAGATTTTCAAAGAACGTTCCTCACCACAACCCTATGAGGTAGTTAATTAGGCGACAATTGTGAAACCTGTCTTTCAGATGAGGAAACTCAGGCCCAGAGAAATTCAATGATTTGCCTCTGATCACACAGTTAACATTTGAAGCAGGATTCAAACCCTGGTCTCCTGATCTCAAGGCTAGCACTCTGGGGGCAATAATACTTCCACTTCCTACCTCATGGGGTTATTGTAAAGAACATCCTTTAGAGAAAGAAGTTATTTTAGAAATCATAGAGTCTGATAGCCTCATTTTACAGAAGAGGAAACTGAGGCCCAGAGAGATTGACTTGCCCAAGATGAATGTGTTACTTTATAGACAGAATCTCAGCTAAAAGGTCTTTAAAAAAACCCACAGTTATTTCTTCACTTATATATTTTAGAGAAAGAAAAGGACCTTAACTCTCAGCACATCTTTCTTCTTTTTAATTTCCTAAATACACACACACACACACAGTGTCCCAAAAGTCTCACTGCAGTTCCTGCACTAAGGGATGTTATATATATTTTATGTAAGGGGATCATAAGGTTAAGGGTGAGGGGCTTACATCAGGGTGAATTAATCCATCCATCGATCAGTGAATATTTATTAAGTGTCTGCTAGGCCCTGGTGGTAAATATATAAAGAATGAAACCCTTTTTTGCAATTAATTTACATTCCAACAGGGATAATAACAAGAACACATACAAGTGTATGCAGAATAAAAATAAAGAGTAGTTTGGGAGGAAAGGTACAAGGAGTTAGAAGAGTCAGAAAAGACTTCATGTAGACAATGATGCTTAAACTGTATTCTGAAGGACAAATTCTTGGTGAGGAGTGGGGACTGCATTCCAGGCATGAAGGACAGCCCTTTTTGACCAGTGCAAAGCTGAAGAGACAGAAGATGGAGTGTCATGTGTGAACAATTTAGAGAAAAGGCCAGGCTTGGTTGGATTGGAGGGGCATGAATGTACAGTGAGACCAGAGAAATGGGTTGGAGCGAGGTTGGGAAGGGTTTCAAAAGCTTACCTGGGAGTTTATATTTTAATCTACAGGCAATAGAAAGCTAGTGAAGTTTGTGGGCAGGTGAGTAACTAGAAACAGGTTTCTAGTCCCGTACTAAAAAGCATTATTGACAAACTAATAGCTACTTGACCATGAGCAAATCACAACCTCTTAGCCTCAGACAACTCTCTCTCCAAGAGCGAGCCGCCTCCCACATCACTCTTCAAATCACAGGTCCTGGATGTATTGACTCATATTCAAGATACTCTCTGTTTTGTCTAGTTGTTGTTGATGGGAAAAAATTAAAGGAGGCTAGGAGTCCTGACACTTGTGACTGACTAGGAGAATTCTAATTTCTTGTCTGAGTGCTTAGTTGTATTATATGTTAATATATTTTCCATATACTGCAAAAAATGATTTTTAAAGAGCTTTGAGAAAAACGGGACATGATTCACTCAAAACATTCGTCTCTTCCACTCCATTTCCCTGCTTTTCAAAAGTCCTTTGGGATAGAAGCTCTGGGATCTTTCTGTGCTGGACTATTTTTGATACAATTTCAAGTACTATTTACACAAATAGGAAAATGATGGTGGAATGAGTCAGTCTTGCTGCTGCTCTGGAGTCCGTGTCTGTTGGGACACGGTTTCCAAGAGTGAAGATTTCCTTAGGGTGCCACAGTCAGTCTTTCCAAACTCACCTTGCAGGGCCAGACACAGGAGGGAGAAGCAGTTGCTGTTGTTCTAACTAGCTTTTTTGGACTTAGGCAATTCTTAGGGCAAATAGAGGCATTATGAAATATCAAAGGGTTTGGCAAGCGGCCCTGTTTACATAAAAAAGGCATGAAACAGCAGTGTCCGGTACCCCAAGGTACAGATAATGACTTTGAGTTTGAATCTTAACTTTGCTGATCAAATACTGGTCACAGGAACTTGCTGTAACAGTCCTCCTCGCCCCAACTCATATCTCTTACAAAGCCAAATGCGAAGGTGCAATCTGTGGGCATTTCAGATATTCCCATAATAACGCTGCTTAGTCAAATAGAGGCAGGATGATCTGGGCTAGTTTAGGAGATACAATTTTAGTCTCAGTTTTACTGTTTTTACTGTATATGATACAGGTAGATCTATCTATACATATATACAAACCAGACCTATCATTTTATTGATACAGGGAACTCCCAGTGAGGAACCTCCCTCCACCAATGCTGCCCAGCACCTGCCCAGCAACTGAGTTGCCTGGGGCATTGAGAAACTAAATGACCCACCTAAGATCTCACGGACATTATTTTATAAGAGTATAGATTTAGAGCTAAAGTGATTCTCATTTCACAGATGAGGAAACTGAGGTTCACAGAGGTTGTGTCCTGCTCTGGGTCACATAGGTAATAAGTGTCTGAATTGGGATCTCAATCTAGGTCTTCCTGACACCAGCACTATCCACTGAGCCACACTGTACATGAGGGAAGAGAATTTACCTTTCTCTGCCTAGTTCCTTGTCTGAAATTTCAAATGGAGATAATACTTGTTCTCCCTACTTCCCAGGGTGATTGTGAGGCCCAAAGGAGTTAGAATGGATGTGAAAGCATTTTGAAAATCATTAAGCATGTTATATAAAAGTAAGGTAGATAATGGAGTTCTTTCTCCTCATGGAAACAAAGGTGTGTCATAGAGTTACTTTTCTTGTCCAAGTGAATTTGAATTTCTGTAGGTGGGCCTCGGATGCAAGGCAAGATTGCCCCCGATGTACAAGATTTTCTTCCTTTGCATCTTATGTGTGGTTTATTCAAGTTACACTCTAAACACAAGTCTTAGTTTCCCCATAAATAGTATCAGGCAAATCTGCTGTTGTGTGCGCCCAGCTTACTTTTGACTCATGCTATGAATGGGATGGGAAAGGAGGATCTAATTGGGATCTTAAGACAGCAGGACTTTAAGGGAACTCTTCGGACTGTCGGGTTGCTTTTTGAAAATGATTTGGATAGGTGAGCACGCCAGTTCAAGATTTTGTGCAGCCAGTTCTGGAAAGGGTTGGACTGCCCAGAGTGAACTTGTCTCCTGGTCAGTGGGACCACCTTGTTCTGCCTGCCAAGGACACCCTCCAAGGTGGGTGCCGCCATCACAAGAACTTTGAAATACCACACTGCTGTGAAACCCAAAGGCCTGATGGACAGAAAGTACTGCTTACCTAAGTAGCAAATTCTGTATTGGATGCAATAAATTCAGCTATCTTTGCTCACATTCTCTCTTGCATGCTGTATCTTGACGTAAATATTACCCCTGGAAAACAAGAAGACAAGTTGCTTGCCCTCCTTAACTCTTCTTGTCCTTTCTGATGGGACTTGGTAAACTTAATTCCCTTGTTTCTCAGAGGTCAGCATATAGCTTCAAACAGCCATTCCTTTTTTAATTTTTTCCTATCAACAAAAATTGATATTCTTTCCTTCCGTCAAGCCCCCCAAATTGGGAAAAAATACAAATGAAACCCTTGTAGCAAATATGCAGTCGAGCAAAACAAATTCCCCAATGGCATTGGAAGCCATTTCTCCTTGTTAGGTAAGAGACTTAAAAGGATATCTTCGATCATCATAAAATCTGTTCAGTACATGTGTATGCCAGTTGAGGAGTGACTTACAAGCAACGAGGTCGACTCCTTACAGCCCGAAAGACTCAGAACATCTTTCCTAGGTCACCTACTATTTATCTGGATAATTACTGAGTCTTTAAGAGATTGTAAATCTATGACTTTCAATCTAATAAATAAGAAGTGACAAGGGAGGGTTTAACTACACTCACACTGGGAGTATAAATGAGACAGGGGTGAGGTCCTGAAAATAACTCAGTGGGTGGCTTCAGTCTTTGACTTTTTATTCCCTCTTCCCAGAATTCAGACCTGAAAACTGATTTCTTGGATACGCAAGAAAAACAATCCTTGAAGCCTCTTGGTGTGTGTGTATGGGGGTGGTGGGAGGAAGGTGGGGGGACAGAATCCCTCTACCTCTGAATGGGAGGGGACTTCAACAGCTACTTAGTACAACTGATGAAGAATATCCTTTTCAACATACCTGTTGAGGGATCATCTAGCCTTTGCTTCAAGACCTCAAGAAAAGGGAACCCACAATTCCGTGAGGCAGCCCATTTATTTTGGGATAGCTCTATTAGGAGGCCTATCATTTTAACTTCTACCCACTGATGTTCTGCCCTCTGGGCCCAAGCAGAGTAAGTCTAATCCCTCTTTCACATAACAGTCCCCTTCAATCCCGATTTTCTTTTCTCAAGCTGAACATTCCAGTTCCTTCCTTCAACTTAATGCAGTCACAAAATTCTGGTTGTAGGGCATGGGTTGTCTTCTGGGATTGCAAATGTTTTCTGAAGCTAGCTTTCGCAGCCTGTTGGAAGCACAAAATCCCAGGCTGTAAATAGCTCAATCATTCATCTGAACCACCTCTTTCTTACATATAGACAGATCCTTGGGTAGGTGATATAACTACTTCACACAGATTTACAACATGAATGTACATTTCCTAAGTGGTATATGCCCATTTTCTCTGATGCTAAAGCTACAAGCTTCCTCATACAAATAAGCAGCTATATAATTAGATGAAATCAAACTGGAAAATCTTTCTAGCAAAAACACTGTGACCCATGGAACAATTTATTTTCTGAAAACATCTGACATAATAGCATAAATACAGAAAACGGACATTTTTCAGTCATTTTGATGCTCCCCACAGTGCACAAATGTACATGGGTCCTCTATACTTTGTATAATAAAGGAAGTGGCCTTGATGAACAAAATAAAATGCACAATCATTTTATTTTGGAATATATTTTATTGACTCAAAGAATTCTGGAAATTTGAGAGAATTTGGTACTGGTGATCATGTAAACATTCGATTCTCAAAAGGGAAAAAGAAGTTCACCCTTTGAGTGAGTGCAGAGTTAGAACCCCTAAAGGAGTTTGTTTTGAAAACAAATAGAAATCGACAGCATAACCTGGGAGTGATTTTTAGGAAAATACAGAACATAATGCCCATTTACAAGGAAATCTTGAAATGCAACATGTAAACAAGATAGGAAATCGACCCACTGTAAGTAAACAAGCTTCTCTCTTTTTTCTTTTTTTAAGCAAACCATCTTAAATAGTTTTCCATTTGGGACATCCAAACTCTATACCGGGGTGTCAAAAATGCCAGAAGATGCAATACATGCAAAAAAGACATTCACTTCAGGACTTCAAATCTGGTTCATGAGATGAAGTCACAAAGCAACTTTTCGTTCACAATCCTGTTCATGTGTAATAAAACACAACACAGAGGAATATAATTAAGTATATGCCTTTCCTCTCTCCTAACAACAGAAGAAAATAGATCAAATTAAAAGGATGCTGATTCTGGGTAAAGTTAATTATAAATCAGCTTCTATTTAATCTTAAAATAATAAGAGAATGGGCATTTGTTTTTGATTCACAGCACATGCAAAAGTCTTCAGTTTGGAAAGACAAACTAGAGAAGATTTCACCAACAGGATGTAAATCTGGCAATAAAATGACAGAAGAATTATCCATCATTGCCCTTCTGTAAAACAGATCAAAACCAAGGGCAATTTAATTTCAGCTGATGGAACGGGGGCAGTGGTTTTTCTGAGTGGAACAGCAAGCCTTATCTCATAAGGGCAGTTCACTGAAGAACTCAAAAACTAGTATTACTGAATGCTCACAGGGGAGGGGCTGAGAAAAACAACTCCCTTTTCCCCTCAAGGTGCCTAGTCCTAAAATTTACAGTCTTCCTTCCTTGGCCTTAGTGTTATTTGGTTACAATAATATAAGTTAAAGACTACTTAGAACAATGTCAATTCAAGTTTTTTGGACAAACTACAATTTTCTAAAACTCCTCTCTCTAATCTAATGTCATATCAAATTAATTCTTTCTAAATATGGCAGCACATTCCTTTGCAGCACAAGTAAACAGCAACAAAATAAGGAAAATTCAGTAGTATTATGTCTACACACAGACATGGCTGAATTAAGTCCAACTGCTTTTTTTTCCCCAAACAATTCACTTCATTAACTGGTTGTTGTTAGATTAAATCTATCCATTTTGTTTTGTTTCATGTTGAAATTCCACTTTATATGGAGATATAGCCTAAGTGAAAGAGAAAAAGAAAGTGTGTGTAACAAAAGAAAAACAAAACCCTTTTAACAAACAAGGGAAAAGAAAAATGAAATAAGACCACAGTGAGTGAGGGAGGTCTGGCCATCTGGTTGTTGCCTCCAATCTCACAACTCTCCTGACTTTCCTTCCCCACTGAAGTCCAGTGTTAGGCTCTAAGAAATACTAGGGGCTTACGCGAACTTCGTGAGCATGGAAGTATCATGCTTTTCTGGTGGAGTAAGTGAGCAGTTCAAGAAGGGCCTCTGGGACTCCTAGCTCAGAAATGATTCAGCCATAGATGGAGACAAAGGGACTGGACAGTGCTAATAATAACTCTCCTTCCTTTACCCTCTGGGAGGGAGGAGTCCTCCAAAATTCTTTCCTCCAACCCTTGCATCTCTTCCCCTTGTCTTTGCCTGGGCCTGTCTGCAGTTAGGATGCTGCTTAGGGCCCAAGGCTCTGCCTCCCCTTTGCCATTACCAAAAGGACAGGCTCCCAAACCAGGACTCAGATTCCTGTTTGTGGTGATAGTTGAGTAGAGAGAGCGAGAAGGAGAACAAAGGAGCTATTTCCCATGACTGTGGTTTTCCTGGGGAAGAGGACCCAACCAGAACAAGAATGTAGGGGTAAGACACTCCAAGAGGCATGGAAAGATAAGATTAAAGACATTTATCAGATTTGAGACAAAAGTGCAATGACAAAAAAATTCACATTTCTGAGGTGATGGGGTGGCCTCTGAAATGGCCACTTCCCTCAAACCGTGCACGGGCTCTATGCCTATCTTCTCTCTCGGGACAAACAGTTATATTTCAATACAAGAATAAAATAAATTTAATTGTAAAAGGCTCGCATAGTAAATCTAGACCCTACAAAATCTAGCAGCAACAGGGAACTGCTGCTGCTAAAACAGCCTCCTGGCTGAAGTTCCCTGCAGTGGGCAAAGGTTGTCCTGACTCCTTAGCAGGTCACTGCACTGCCATTCATCTCTTGTACTGCATTCATGACAAGCATCGTCTTGTTAAAGAAGCCGCTCTCCCCACTCCCATCTCCCTCTTCTAGGTCTGTTGTCCTGGAGAAATTGTCTTCCATTGTCTCCCGTGACACACTCTTCAGGGCTTTGGTGGTATTGGCCCGGACTGAAATATGGTCCCATCCTCCCTGTAAGAAAAGGATGAATAAAGAGAAGCCTGACTACTCACTCAGAGAGAACAGTAACCGGTGCCTGGAAAGTGAATGACACTGTTGGTTTTGTTCATTTTGTTACCAATGTACATCCCCCCAGGCCGGGGATGAGTTCCCAGGTAGGGATAGGGGTAAGAAGAGCTAGTAAAAATAAAAGAATCAAGTGCAGATTATCAATCTCCTGACAGATTTAAGGTACAGAATGAGACCTATTTAAAAATATTTATTTTTAATAAATAATTTATTTTCTCTTCCTCTCATCACTCCTCCAGCGTGTGTGTGTATGTGTGTGCGCGCACGTGTGTGTGAGACAAAAGAAAAATCCTTGTAACAAATATAGCATGCAAGTGTAGTGTTGCACACCTGTAACCCTTGCTCCCCAAGGAGGCTGAGGCTGCCGGATCAATTGAGCTCAGGAGTTCTGAGCTGTAAAAGTCCAGTACCAATATGATGTGTCCCTGGGAGCTGAGCATCTTCAGGCTGCCCAAGCTGGCTGAAGTTGGAAACCAAAACACCCATGCCAGTCAGCAGTGGGATGGAGCCCTTGCATGGCCACTGTACTTTCAATCTGGGCAAGTTAAGGAGATCCAGTCTCAAAAAAACCCACTGTACTTTCAATCTGGGCAAGTTAAGGAGATCCAGTCTGAAAAAATCCCCAACAAACCCAAAACAATAGTAACAACAACAAAAAAAATATGCATGGCAAAATAGAACAAATTCCCACTTTGTTCCTTCTGGACATAGCAAATTTGTGGATTTCTTTTGTTCAAGCAAAAGCTGGAAAAAAGCTATGCTGGTTTGTCTTATGTAGCTTGTGTTTTTCTTTTTTTATTGGGGAGAAGGGAATTTTGGGGAAGAAACAGGAGCCAAAAATAGCATTACCAAAAAGAAAGAAAGAAGGAAGAAAAAAAGAAAGGAAAGAGAGGGTCACTGAAACATTTTATTAGAATGAACAAAAGAGAACAGAAGGAGATTCAGAAGAAAACAGACATGTAAGACAGCTTTGAAAGTAATATTAAATTTGCTACAGACTTTTAAAAGCAAGTATCAGAGATTCATGTATCTTTTTTCCTGTTCTACCATGTATAGAAAAATTTTAGGGGGATGATTGTTAAATTTAGAATAAAAAAATTTGATGCTGTTAGAATAGAAAGACAAGATATATTAGTGGGGAAATTCTGAACATTTCTGAAAAAAATCTGAGATCTAAAATATGTAAGGAATTAACAAGAATCCCTAAGAGATAGTCATTTTCCATTAGATGGAAAAAAGATGTAAACAGTTTTCAAAAGGACTGCAAGCAATTGAAAAACCATAGGAAAAAATGCTCCAAATCTGAACAATAAAATAAAGGCAAATTAAAACAAATCTCCAATATCACCTCACTCACATTTATCAAACTGACAAAGATGGAAAATGTCAATGATGAAAGGGCTGTGGGAAGCCAAGCACACTCATCTATTGTTCATGGAATTGTGATAATTGGTCTGACTATGGTGGAAAACAATGTGAGAGAAGTTCTTCTTTGACCTGTGTATGATCCCATTCCCAGATACATATCTCCATACATCAGAGGGTATCTACTTCCTTTGATATGCCTCTAAGAGGCCAAAGACAGAAACAAAGGTTCTATATATACCCACAGATTCATAGAAACATAATTTTTTAATAGCAAAAAGCTAGAAACAAATCATGTGTCCAATGAAAGGGGTATAGTTGAACAAAATATGGTAAATGAATGTAAAGGAGTATCACTGTGTCATAAGGAATGACATAAGGAATGAACTGAGAGAAACTTGGGAAGATGTACAAACTTATGCAGAATGAAAAAAGTAGAAGCAAAATCACTATACACAGTGATCACAATAAGATAAATTAAGACACCACAATAAGGCACCATAAATCATGTACCTCAGCTGAAATTGCTCTCTTCAAAGCTACCAACAATCTCTTCATTGTCAAACTGCAGTCTTTTCTAAGGTGTACTTCTTCTACATCTATCTGCTGCGCTTGACCCTGTTGACCAACCTCTCCTCTGGATACTCTTCTCTGGGTTCTCATGACACTACTTACTCTCTCTCTGTCTCTGTCTCTCTGGGTCCTCCTGCCTTCATAACTGCTCCACCTCAATCTTCTTTACTGGCTCATTATCCACCATGCCCCATAATTGTGAGTGTTCCCAAACCTCTGTCCTAGGCCCTCTTCTCTTCTCCCTCTATACTCTCTCAGTATCCTAATTGGGTTCCGTGAGTTTAACTATCGCTTCTATGCAGATGACTTGTAGATCTACATATCCAGCCCCAGTCTCTCCTCTGAACTTCTCTCCTGGATTACCAATTGCCTCCCTAGACCTTCTAAAGAAACCTGAAGCTCAACAGTTTTAGACTCAAGTCTAAGAACTTTATCCCCTAAACCTAAATTCCCTCTTCCAGACTTCCTTATTTTTGGCAAAAGTACTACAGAATTTCTTAGCATTATCCAGTGTTCCTTTCTCTTCCTCACCCATATCCAATCAGCTGCCAAATCTTGCTGTCTCTACATTCACATCTTTCACTTCCTACCCCTTCTCTCCATGCACACGGTTACCACTTTGATTCAGGTCCTCATCACCCCTTTGTCTAGATTATTGCAACAGTCACTTATTTGTTCTTCCTGACTCAAGTCTCTCATCACTCCAATCCAACCTGCTGAAGTCATTTTCCGGAAACATAGATCTAACTACATTATTCCTCTATTTAGTCAACTCCAGTGGCTATCTTTTGCCTGTAGAGTAAAAACCAACCCCTCTGTTTAGCTTTTAAAATCCTACACAACCTTGCTCCAGCCTCTATTTCCAGCCTCACTGGACATTATTTCCTCTACCACATGCTGCAATCCAGCAAGCTTTCCTTTTTTCTGCCCCTTACACGCTCCCTCTCTATGTCCCAGCTCCCTGCCTTTTTACTAGCCATGCTCCACGGCTGACAAGCCTCCCTCCATCTCAGATCTCCTCTCTTCCTTTAAGACTCAGTAACTCAAGCACCAGCTTCTGCAGGAAGTCTTTTCTGCATTCTCCTCAAACACTAGTGCCCTCCCTCCCAAACTACTGTGCTCCAACTACTTTGTATATATCTGTATTGATTCACTTTATATATTTACATATGTGCTCTCTGTCTCCATCACACTCTAAGCTCACTGTGAGCAGGGAATGTGTCATCGGTTGTACCTGTGCCCCCAGAGGCCAGCACAGTGTTTGATACCCAGCAGGTGTTTAACAAATACTTTTTTTTACTGAATAATTGGCTAATATAGGTTCCGTATGAGTAGGATTAAAACATATTTCCTTTCTAATAAGGAATGAAAAACTAAAACTTGAAAGTTGTATGAACTGTCAGTCAAAATCACTATATTATGTGGTGTTACTTAGCTTTTTAAGGAAATTATTCTGCAGTTAACCATCAAAATTAAAAACTGAGAATTTCCAGAGAGAACAGAAAAAATATTATACAGGAATCTGCAAGTCTCTATTAATTATGTACAGCTTGCTTTTTAAAAAGTATAGTAAATTCTTTATGTTGCTTTCAGTTATCCTATTTGTGTTTCCTCTGAACTTTGTTCTATTTTCTTTTGTGCATTCTTTTAAATGCCTCAATGACACTTTTTTCTTTTCTTGGGCAATATGATGATATTCTCCATCTTTCACCAATTAAAAAAAAGAGAAATAAAACTCTTTGTAATATTCACCAAAATAACCTAAAACCAATCAATCCATGTATTGTCCATGTCCAAAAATGTATGTCTCCTTCTCATTTGAGTCTATTACCCCTGTCAGGAGGTGAATAGACTGACTGTTCCATCATCAATTCTCTCTAGTTGAGTTCTTAAGTCTTTCAAAACTATTTTTACTTACAATGTTTATCTATTTTTTATGGGACAATTACAATGTGATGATCTTTACTGGAAAGTGAATAATGCATCAAAACAAAATGCATCAATAAAGAATTAAAATTTAGAATGTGGACTTTTTTTCTTATTTTCATAAATGTCATCTTCAACTGCCTTTTGCCAAGTACTGATTAGGTAATGTATTACGCTCTTTCCTTTTCCTAAAAAATTACCCTAGCACTTAAGGATTCTAGAGCGAGAAAGTGCTGAGCAGCCCACTGCCTTCAGAAAAGGAAAGGTGGACCTCTAGTTCCTGATCTTCTTAATGACTTCACGCTCATCCTCTATAGCCCACTGGAGTACTTTAGCGTCCCAGCGATTTTTTTGGCCCAAGTACCTTCTGCTGTAATTGAAATCTACTTCTCTTTTTGGGACCTCTGTAAACAGAAAATAACAACTAATCCAAAAGTAAAACTTCGTGATAGGCTTGGGCTTTTCTTCTTTAGGCTAACTACCTGAGTTCACCTGAAAAAACATAAAGTAACATGAAATAACAGGGATTTCTGAGCCCAGATGACCACATATTCTTGAGAACTACATACAGTGATCGGGCTTAAAGCAAGGGACATGTGGAAATGAGATGGTTTGTCCACAGGCAAAATTACAACTGGGACAACTATAAAACAATTTCATGTTCTCTTGAAAAGAAGGGAAGGGCTCTTCACTCTTCACGTCCTCCTACTCCACACCAGGAATTCTGGCATCTTCCTCGTGACTAACAGAAGGTATAGAGGCAAATGATTAAATGGGAAGGATTACTGCAGCTGGCCATGCCACACATGACCCTAAACTCACCAGATTTTAAGACTGGGGGGAATAGGTGTGGACAGGGGTCTTTATGGTCTTACTGGAAAGTTGCCACCCACATGTCTTAGGGTGGGGAGAAGGGGAAGGGTCCCACACACCTGGTTCTCAAGTTCCAATTTCTAAGAGGTGTCTTCAGAAAGATACTCTCCCATCCCCCCATCTGTCTCTCAGTTTTGTCAAGGTTTCAGCTGGGAAGGTGGCACCTGGCAACCAGAATGTCCTCCACCCCCTCCCTTCTTCACCAGGTAAGTACGGTGAGTAAACATTTTAGAGGATAACTCGGTTTTTGAATCTCTGCCAGGTGCTTGGGGAAAATATGTTATCAGACACAAAGCTTTGCCCTCAAGTGGCTGAAGAAGCCAAACATACACTAATTCCAAGTGGTGGAACTCTACAGAATTGTATACAAATGTACTATGTCTGGTTTTGTTTTTTATTTTTTTTGTGAGGCAGTTGGGGTTAAGTGACTTGACCAGAGTCACACAGCTAGTGAGTGTTATATATCTGAGGCCCAATTTGAACTCAGGTCCTCCTGACTCCAGTGCCAGTACTCTATCCACTGCGCCACCCAGCTGCTCCTAAATGTACTATGTCTGCCAACGTAAGTGGACATCCTGCGGCTGACCAAGATGGTGGGAGCCGCTTTGCCTTTCATTCTCTGCAGGGACATTGCTGCATGCTCTACCATCTTAACCCCAAAAGAAGGGTTCCACACTCACCCCAATGCCATAATCCCATCCTTGCCCTTTCGGCTCCCGGGGTTGCACTCCTGTTCTGTGACACACAGTCCCGCAGCTCAGGCTGTGGCTTCCTTGAACCTTATTGGCAATGACCCAGACCTGAAATGGAAGAGAGAATAAAATCCTTGACTGTCCTATTCCACTGAGACCAGCAGCTATATTGGAAAAGCCAAGGCAAGAGTGAAATATCCTGAGGGGTGCTTTAAGCAGAGTAAAAAAAGACAGAAGGAAGGGGCATAGCTCAACTAGAAATAAAGGAAACCATGACAGGCTCAGAGGGCATATCCTGGGTGCTGAGATAAAGCAGTAGAGAGGTCTCCAACATTCAAAAGAGATTCAAATCCTCTGGGTTCAGGTTTTAGCTTTCTCTAACACACCCCAGGAACAAGTGTCTAACTGAAGGGCTTTTAATGACCTTACATCAGGGAAAACATATGCTGACCTGGTCCAGTGGGCCAACAGAAACTTTGCGGACATTATTAGAGACGTGGTCCCAGCTGGATCCTTGTGGGTAGCTGGGGGTGATTCCCTGTCGGTACCACAAGTTGCCTAGGAAGAATAAGTAAACAGTTAGTATGAGGAATGTGCTACTTATAAAAGGCCCTGCTCTTCATCACCCGGACAACCAGAAGCCAAACCCAGACCTACTGAGGCCAAGAAGGAAAGTCGCTTCCTTCTTCCAATTTTATGCTTTTGGCTTTAACAGACTTAATCAAACCAGGTATTTTTCTTTTCTTTTCTTTTCTTTTTTTTTGGTGAGGCAATTGGGGTTAAGTGATTTGCCCAGGGTCACACAGCTAGTGAGTGTTATGTGTCTAAGGCTGGATTTGAACTCAGGTCCTCTTGACTCCAGGGCTGGAGCTCTATCCACTGTGCCACCTAGCTACCCCTCAACCAGGTATTTTTTATAGTACATTAGACTTCCTTTTTTTGAGAACTGCTTTACCCTATGTTGCCTAGGCTGGAAGCACGACAGATATTTGTGGGCCTTGATCAACACAGAAGTTTTAACCTGCCATTTTTCCAAACTGGGCAGCTGGGTAGCACCCTCTGCTCCCAGGGTCTTTAGGTCTAATGCAGCTCAGAGCTCAAATGATCTACCAGCCTCTGCCTCTTCCCAGTAGCAGGGATGCCAGGCATGTGCCAACACACCTGGCCAAGTATTATTACCTTGATTTTACAGGTAAAGAAACTGAGGCACAAATTAATTAAGTGATCTGTCCAAGGTCAAACAACTTCTAAAGACAGAAGCTGAACTAGGATTTAGATCTATTGACTTCTAGTCTACTGGTTTTTTTTTTTTTTTTTCCTGCTACCATTGTCTGTGCCAGAGAATATTTCAGAGTCAAGTGACTCTGGGTTAGCAGCAGGATCTAGCCCTCCTTCTGACAGACTGTCCTAGAATAAATTCCTGACCCCATTATTCTAGTACACATGACAGAGCAAAAACATAATAATCTCATTTCATATGGCGATGACAGAATGAAGGGAAAATTGCCTTTGTCTTCCACTTCCCTACTCAGAGAACCCACTGACTCTGGCTGCAAGTTAAACCATCATGAAGTACAAATTGGGCTCCTATGCTCTTCCTTCCCATTGTTTTTGTCAGCTTCCCATAGTTCTAGCAATGCTAGCTACAATCATCAGACAAGATAACAGAATCATGGGAATAAACACTGGCAAAGAGGATGCAAAATTACCTCTATAGATAAGACAATGGTATAGAATACCCCAGAGAATCAGCAAAGAAATTCATACAATTAATAATTACAGCAAGGCTACAAGACACAAAATAAATCCAGGAAGATCATCAGCATTTCTTTAAAGTACTAACAAAATAATAAGAGAAATTCCATTCAAAATAACTGTAAAGTTCTTAATATATGTGGATGTTTATCTATCAAGGTACATACAAAATTTAGAATAAATACAATTACAGAATTTTTTAAAAGATATAAAGATTGTCAAATAATTGAAGAGAAATTTACTGCACAAGGTGGGACCATACTAATATAATAAAAATGACAATACTCCCTAAATTAATTTACATATTTTGTGCTAAACTAAATTACCATAGGTTACAAAGTAATGAACTTCATTTGGAAGAATAAAAAGTCTAGAATCTCAAGGGAAATAAAGCAGTAGCCATCAGAACTATTTGGTATTGGTACAGAAAAAGAGATCAGTGGAACAGATGTTGGCAAGAAACAGAAGTAATTGAAAACAGTAAACCGGTATCTGATTAACCCAAGTAAATAAATTACAGGGGGGAGGAACCCTTTGTCAAATAACTACCAGGAAAACTAGAATCAGCACCTTACACCATTTACCACAATAAGCTCTAAATGGATACATGAACTGGATCTAAAAGAGTCACATCAGAAAAAAATTGAAAAGAACAAGACAAATTCAAAATTAAGGTTAAAGTGAAAATTTTTTAAAATATATTTTATTTTTCCCCCAATTACATGTTAGAACAATTTTTTAACATTTTTTTTAAATTTTGAGTTCTAAATTCTATCCCTCCCTCCTTTCCCTCTCCCTTCCCTAAGATGGTACACAATCAGACACAGGTTAAACATACACAATGATGTAAAATATTTCCATATTAGTCATTATGTACAAGAAGACTTGAATAAAAGAAAAAGAATGAAAGAAAATAGCATGTTTCAATCTGTATTCAAAAGATATCGGTTCTTTCTCAGGAGGCGAATAGCATATTTCATCATTAGTCCTTTGGAATTGTCTTGGATCATCGTATTGCTGAGAATAGCTAAGTCATTCACAGTTCTTCATTGTACAATAATACGTTACTGTGTACAACATTCTCCTGGTTCTGTTCACTTCACTTTGCATCAATTTATGTAAATCTTTCCAGGTTTTTCTGAAATCATCCTGCTTGTCATTTCTTATAGTGCAATAATATTCCATCAGAGTCATAAATCACAGCTTGTTTAGTCATTCCTCAGTTGTTGGACATCCTCTTGATTTCCAATTCTTAGCAACTACAAAAAGAGTTGCTATAAATCTTTTTGTACAAATAGATCCTTTTCCCTCTTTTTTATATCTTTGGGATATAGACCTAGTAGTGGTATTGCTGGATCAAAGGATATGCACAGTTTTATAGTCCTTTGGGCATAGTTTAAGGGGAGAATTCTCAACCAAACGAGGCATATATAAACACAAAAAGTAAAAGATAAGTTATCTGCATAATAACTGCATAAACTTAATAATCTTTTGCAGAAATACTCAATGCAGACAGAAACAGAATGGGAAAATATCTGATTCCAAAGTCTGATATACAAAACGTATAAGGAATTGACACTAATATACCAAGAGTCACTCCTTGATGAAGTGCCAAAGAATACGAATAGTTCTCAAAATATTATTCACAAATTACAAATGACCACACGAAAACATGTTCCAAATAACTAATGAGAAAAATGGCAAAGATGAAAAAATATGCCAACAGTCCATTTTTGATGGGCTATAGGGAGATAGGCACATTATTGGTGAATTCTACGGTGGTCAAATGATCTGTAATTTATGCAGGAAAAGTGACTAAATTGCCTATACCTTTAACCCAGCAATCTCACCCCTGAGCATATATCACAAAAAAGTCAAAGAAACAAGGAAAAGGCTCAACATATATATGAAAATACTCAGCAGCATTCCTTGTGATAGCAAAGAACTAGAAACAAAGCAGGTGCCTATTGATCAGTGAAAGTCAAAAACAATTTTTCTTAAAGACTGGGTCTCCCTCTCTTACCCAGGCTGAAAGTTCAGGGGCTACTCAGGAGACTGATACAACTAGTGACTGGCATGGGAGCTTTGACTGTTTCTGACAAGGGCTAGTTTACCCCCCAGAGGCAATCTGGTGGCCTGATACACAGCAACAGCAGCTCTCTTTACTGATGCTGAACCTAGAGTGGACAGCCCATTGAGAAGCGTATATCCACTATCGCTCCTAACTCCTGAGCTCAAGAGATCCACGAGCCTCAGCCTCCCCGGTAACTGGGATCACAGGGGATGTACCATCGCACCCAGTAAAATATTTGTGTGTGTTTTATTTTTTTTAATGTCAAGGATTATTATGCAGGAAAAAATGCTGAATACTAGGGATTTAAAGAAATATGGGAAGATCTGTATGAAATGATCACAGGACCATAGACTTATAACCAGAAGGGACCTTAGAAACCATCTAGTCCAATCCCTTTGTTTTACAGATGAAGAAGAGATTTGTCCAAGGATATAAAAGTGACAAAGGTAGGATGTGAACTCAAGTCTTCTGATTCCAAATCCAGTCTTCCACTGTACCATGCTACAAAGTGAAATGAGAACCACCAAGAGAACAATATACACAATGACTACAACAATGGAAATGAGATCACTAAGAGGAAGCTAAACTTTGAGTAACAGGGGAAAAAAAGCCAGTCCCAGAGAAGAGACAACAAAACACATTTTTTTCCCTCAAATAAAGAGGTGGGAAACTATTAGAACAAGGTGTCCCAAAAGTCTTATTGCTGTTTTACCTTATTAAAGCTTAAAGCTGCCCTAAGACTTTTGGGACAATTGGTATTGTTTACATTGTCAAACACAAATCTTGCTTAATTGTTTTTCTTTACACAGGGGATGCTTGATGAAGCCCCCGGCTGGGCAGGGAAATGTGGAATGAAAAATGACTATGATGAAAAGATAAAGGATTTCAATAAAACGTACTTTTTAAAAAAAAATGGGCCTTTCTGTTGGTGGAATTGTGAATGGATCCAGTCGTTCTGGAGAGAAATTTGGAACTACGCCCAAAGGGCTAAAAAACTATGCATACCCTTTGACCCAGCAATAGCACTTCTAGGGCTGTATCCCAAAGAGATCATACAAAGAGGAAAAGGACCCACATGCACAAAAATATTTATAGCAGCTCTTTTTGTGGTGACTAAGAATTGGAAATTGAGGGGATGCCCATCAATTGGAGAATGGCTGAACAAGTTGTGGTGCATGAATGTAATGGAATACTATTGTGCTATAAGAAATGATGAACAGGCAGACTTCAGAAAAACCTGTAAAGACTTGTATGAATTAATGCTGAGTGAAGTGAGCAGAACCAGAAGAACATTGTACAGAGTAACAGCCACAATGTGTGATGACTAACTGTCATAGACTTGGCTTTTCTCAGCAATGCGAGGATCTAAGACAACTCCAAAAGACTCATGATAGAAAATGCTGTCCACATCCAAAGAAAAGAATTATGGAGTCTCGGGCAGCTAGTTGGCACAGTGGACAGAGCTCCAGAGCCTTAGAGTCAGGAGGACCTGAGTTCAAATCCAGCCTCAGACACTTGACACTTACTAGCTGTGTGACCTTGGGCAAGTCACTTAACCCCGACTGCCTCATCTAAAAAGCAAAAAAACCTCAAAAAACTATGAAGTCTGAATGCAGATGGAAGCATACTATTTGCTCTCTTTTTAAAAAATTTTGTTTTATTTTGTTTCTTCTTTCTCTTGGCTCCTCCCATTGGTTCTAATTCTTCTTTACAATATGACTGATGTAAAGATATATTTAATATGAATGTATATGTACAGCCTATATCAGATTGCACGCTGTCTTGGGGACAGTAGAGGGGAGAGAGGGAGAAAAAATTTAGAACTCAAAAGCTTATGGAAGTGAATGTTGAAAACTAAAAACAAATATATAAATTTATATAAATATATAAATTTTTAAAAATTGGGCCTTTCCTCATTTACACTGAACTTAAAGATCTGCCACTGTACAGAAGCAAGCGTAATAATATTTGTCATCAGGTGATACCTTGCCAACAGGTGGGTCTTTCTTAAGATTTTCTTCTAGGACAACATCTTATCAGTGGCCTGATACCTTGGTGACTCTGAGGAGCAGTGTTCTGGAGCACTCACCAAAATCTGAGGAGTAACTAAGCTATTCAGCATCACAGAAGTTATATTTGCTGTAATTACGACTGTACCTTAGAAAAAGCTTGCTAGGGGCAGCTAGGTGGTGCAGTGGATAGAGCTCCAGCCTTGGAGTTAGGACGACCCGAGTTCAAATCTGGCCTCAGACACATGACACTTACTAGTTGTGTGACACTGGGCAAGTCACTTAACCCCAACTGCCTCACCAAAAAGGCAAAAACAAAAAGCTTGCTAGCTAGAGTCTAACTAAAATAAAGTTTCACAATCACTTGAGTGGTTTTCTTGTCATATGATATGGTCAGTTTGGGGTACTTTTGACTTTACCTATTGGCAATATGGATAATCATAATTTCTGAAAAGCCAATAAAGAATTGTTTTTTTCCCCAATATTTATAGCAACTCTTTTTGTGGTGGCTAAGAATTAGAAATTGAGAGATGCCCATCAATTGGGGAATGGCTGAACAAGCTGTGGTATATGATTATGATTGAATATTATTGTGCTAAAAGCAGTAACTATGCGCCATAAGAAATAACAAGCAAGATGATTTCAGAAAAACCTGGAAAGACTTGCATGAACTGATACAAAGTGAAGAGAATTTATACACAGTAATAGCAATATCGTATGATGAAGAACTGTGAATGATCTAGCTATTCTCGGCAATACAATGATCCAAGACAATCCCATAGGATTCAAGATGAAATGTGCTATTCACCTCCAGAGAAAGAACTGATACTGTCTGAATACAGACTGAAGCATGTTACTTTTCTCTTTCTTTCTCTTTTTCTTTTTTTCAAGTCTTCTTATATAAAATGACTAATCTGGAAATATTTTACATGGTTGCACATATATAACCTATATTGGACTGTTTTACTGCCTCAGAGAGGGGAAAGAGAGGGATAGAATTTGAAAGTCAAAACTTTTTTATGCAAAAAATTATTTTAACATGTAATTGGGAAAAAAACAATTTTAAAAAATTGTTTTTTTTCCAACAACTATGCAGACAGTAATAATAACATACATTTGAAGAGTGCTTTTGATTTTTTCAAAGCACTTTTCCATCTAATATCTCATCCGATCCTGTAAGGTAAATAAGGCAGGTAATATTATTCCCATTTAAGGGAATTTAGGAAATTAAGGAAATTAGGAATTAAGGAAATTAAGGACCTTGATTTCCTCACCTGTTAAATAGGAATAATACCACATGAATGATTTGCTTACTCAAGTCATCAGCTGGTGTGGGCAGAGCAGAACTTAGAATCTCAGTCTCCTAATTCCCAGTCTGTAGCTTTTTACAAAAGTTCCTATTTCCTCTCAAGTGCCTGTCACACTTTGGTGAGCTATAACAGTTAAGATGAATCAAAAACAACTTACCATTTTCATCGAGTGCATATACTGATGTCTGTCCCACTGACACCTGTTTTAGTTTCTGCTTTGGAGGAGAAGGAATGTGGTACCAACAATCACCTAAAACCAGAAACCCATCTTGTAAATTGCAGTTGAGAAATAACAACACAACAGACACACAGTTCTCCTACCCCATTCCTATCCCTATACAACAATATTACTAATAATTACTAATTACTAAGAAGGTAGCCTTGTCAAAGTGAGAATGCTTTAAAGCTGTCTTCTTGTCCTTGACCTTGGAAAAATGGAAAAGGGGAAGAGAGGTACAAATCAGGTATTAATTCCAGGGTCTAACTTTCCTTCCGAGTTGACTTCTGTCCCTACCGTTCTACTGAACCTGTTTTCTCAGGTCCCAGTGATTCTCTACTCCTCCGTTCTGAAGACCTTATTCTCCTAGCTTCCGTCACACTGTTCTTCTCTATTTCTTCCCCTACCTCCCTGAATATTTCTGTCTCCTGTCTCCTTCACTGGTCTTCTTCCTCTTCCCACACCCTTCACAGAGGCCTCTACATGGCTCTCTCCTTAATCCTCTTGTGTTCTTTCTCAGCAATCTCCTTCACTCATCCATGGCTTTAGCTAAGTGTAGGGCATCCAGATCTCCAGCTCCAGCTCCATCCTCTTTTCTAAACTCCAGACTTGTATTACCTGCACCTTAATGTGTCAAATACTGAAGTCACCATCTTTCTCCAATCTGTTCTTCCTCCTGACTTCCCTATTTCCATTAATGATACCAATTTAATTCAGCAATCTTTTATTAGGTCCCTACTATAAAATAAGGGAGTATGCTTGATGGTAAGATGAAAACAAGAAATGACAAGAGGCCCTACCCTCAAGGACCTTAGAGTCTAACTGGGGAGATACAGGATGTACACGTGTAAGTATGCCACAAGGAAAGGCCAAGCAGAGAGAAAGACAACGTGCTTTATTGTTATGATTGGATGGGGAGCCTGGAAGTAGTCAAAGATCACTCAATAAGCCTTTATTGAGCTCCTCTTGTAGGCCAGGCACTGGGCTAGGTGCAGGGGATACAAAAACATTAATTGTCCCTACTCTTAGGGATCCCTGGGAGAGAGAAGAATATACAGGGGGAAATTTTGAAAACAGAAGAAATTTCTAGTGGATCAGGGTTCCAGGCAGCACACTGGAAAGAGCAGAAAAATGACAGGAACTGAGAAGTGCTGAGACAGATGGGAATAAGAATACAAGGAGATGTAGGAGAGTGCTGAGCAACAGTGAGGAGGGGACAAGGAGGCTGGAACTTGTTAACACAGGGCAAGAGAAATAATACTAAGTAGAAAGAAACTTAGAGACTAAATCAGCCTTAAGGTTATAACCAGAATTTTCCTCATCACCTCTCAATGCCCAATCACTGGCCAGGTCTAATCAAGGTCACCCTCATAACGTCCCTCAGAGTCATGCCCTTCCCTCTACCTACACTACAGCCACCAAAGATAAGGCCCTCATCACTTTACTGGTCTCCCTGCCTCAGCCTCTCCCTTCTTCAACTTATCTTCCACAGGTTGCCAATGGACATTCCTAAAGCCCAGGTCTGACCCCAGCATTCCTCAGCTCAAGAAGCTTCAGGGGCTTTACTGCTTTTATGATAAAAGTATAAATTCCTCTTTTGCATTGAAAGCTCTTCCTAGTCTGGCCCTAGCCCATCATTCAAAGATACATTATTCCCCACAGAACAGCCCATGCTCCAGCCTACTTGCCATTCTCCAGACACATATTCCATCTCTCCCCTTTGTGCCTTTGCCCAGAGTCCCATCCCCCTCCCCCACCCCCTGCCATGCTTTCCCTCCTCACTTCTGTCTCTTGGGATCTCTAGCTTTCTTCAAGGCTCAGTTCACAAAGTCTATCATGATCCCCCAATTGCTTTTGGAGGGAATGATGCTGTTCCCAGTTATTGTGTATTTATTTTGAATATATCTACACTTTCTCATTCACAAACAACGTACATCCACCCAGTAGAATATAAGCTCCCTGAAGGCAGGAACTTTCTATTTTTATCTTTGCATGCTTAGGGCCTTGTATAGTTCCTAGAACATAGCAAGTGATTGATAAACACTTACTGATTGACTAAATGAATGTCAGTGTGATGATGGCTTTTCAGGATCCTACCTTTCAGGTGCTACCTTCTCTTAAGCTTGAACCCTCAGAGGAGGATCCTTTTTACTTCTTCCCACTCCCCAGATATCCAATAAGTCACCAAAGCCTTTTAGATTTTCTCTTTACAGGACTTTCCGTTGGGGCCCTCATTACCTTTGGAAAACTATAATAGATTACCAACTCACCACCAGTCTCTCTTACACACACTTATGCCAGACTAGTCTTTTTAATAGATAACTGATAATACCACTTTTCTCTTTAAAACCCTTAACTATCTTTCAATTACTTCCCAAACTTGAGAGACGGCCAGACTGCAGAGGACCTGACATTTACGATCCACTACACTTTGGCTCCAAATGACATTTCCAGCGCCACTATGACCCTGTGGTCATAGGCACCTTCCACTCCTCCCCTTCCCCCGACCCTAATACATGTTAAGCTAGTTTTTCTTTGAAAGGTATTGAAAACATCCATAACACTTGATTGGCTCAGGGGACTAAAGGCTCAGGCCACTGACTTCGCCTTCTGGTCACCTGAGCCCAAAACAGCCAGGAGTTCCAGGCATGCTCTGATGCTTGGCTGCTGGACCACGATGAGCAACTCAGACAGGGAGCTTAGATCAGCTTGATCTCGTCTGGGTGTCATCAATGCATAGCCTTGCTGAATATCCTGTTGTGGCTAAGTACATTTTTTGTTAACTGCTGCATGACCTTCAAGTGTCTCATTTCATTCCACTATCAAATATAAGCTACTAAGGAACTGGCCTGAGTCAGGCCCAACCCAGCCAAACTGAACTACTCATATTCTTTGAAAACATCTTGCAATGGCCTGCATTTGCACCTTTCTTCTCTTGCTGCCTATCCCTAGAATGCCCACGCCCATCAACAAGGCCTACTGCCATCCTGCTTTGCAAGCCCAGTTTAAATGCTACTTCTTGCCCCCAAGGAGTCTCCGGGATGACCCCAGCTAGAAGTCAATTTTCTCTCCTCTGAAATCATGCAGTGCTTTGGACCTCTCTCATACATTAAGTACACTTTGTTTTGAACTGTATTTGGTTATGTATAGTTATTACTTTATTAGACTGTAAGCTCCTTGAGGGAGGCATCATCTCTTATTCATCCCTGAATTCCCTTTTGGTATCCCACCACACAGTGCCTCATCCGTAGTAGGTGCTTGATAAATATCTATTGAATGAATGCCAACTCTGTGACAAATCATTATTATCAAAACACTGCTCTCTCTTTCTACCTTATAAAAAAATCTCAAACGAAACACAGCCAGTACAAATTAGGGCTGGTATGATCTGTGACTTTTTTCTTTGTGGGGAAGTGAAAGCAAGATGCTGATTCAGACATTAGGATAAAACCACTAAAAGCGGGCAAAGTTTGGGAGCAATTTTCAAACTGTCTGGGAAATATCTATCTATAAAATTGGGTAGGGGACAAAAGGATCTCCTTAGGCTACAGCAGAATCCACTCCAAGAGGCTTTCTGAGCCTTTCACAATGTCCATACCTTGATAGCACACCTACTATGTGTTGAGGATATAAGGGGACAGCTAATTGTAGTCTGGCCCTGCTCGGGGCACAGCTGTACTTACCAGCTGGCTGTTTGGGGGACACAGAGCCCCTGTAGAATGCTGAGCCATCTCTGGCCACGGCCCAGACTTGGTAAAAAGCCCCGACAGACACTGAAATGAAGGGCTGATCCGTGCCAACATGCAGCCAGGACGAACCCTGGGTGATTTGAGAGAAAGAACATTTTTGAAAGAGACAAGACTCAAGGGTAGTCTAACCCACAGGGACTGGGAGTCACCAAGGCATGCAGGTGGCAGCTCAGGTAGCATCAGAGCTTTATCTGTGAAACACTCAACCACAGTGGGACAGCTCCTCCCAAGCAGGTCAGGAAAACTCACCCAATGCTAGTCCACTAATACAGCATTTCCAGGGATTAAACTGGTCACCGTTATTCCTCCTGTCACTTGGAAAAGTACAGGGCCTAACCAACTATGAAGGGTAAGACCTGTCAAGTATTGTCCTAGGAACATTATTAAACTAAGTGCTCATCCTTTCTTGGAAACTCTTTCTGTTTTTTTTTCTTTCTTTTTTTTGGTGAGGCAATTGGGGTTAAGTGACTTGCTCAAGGTCACACAGCTAGTGCGTGTCAAGTGTTTGGTCTGAGGCCGGATTTGAACTCAGGTCCTCCTGACTTCAGGGCAAGTGCTCTGTCCACTGTGCCACCTAGCTGCCCCATTGGAAACTCTCTCTGATCAGTGTAGAAGGGGCGCTCTTTCCAGATCTCCAAGGCTGACGTCCCTTTTCCTCCTCCACCATCTCCAGCACAAGGCCTAGAGGCAGAACTTGCCTCTGTTTTACTGCAAGGTCTGTCAGCTTTTCTGTTGCATTTCTGAAGTTTCTATTTGTTCTATTGGATCATTTTTAAAAAGAGCAATTGTCTATCATTACAAAATTCCCTTATTTACCTACTGACGGACTTCAGACGTATTAAGCCTTTGTGTGGTAGTAGAAAGAACTGTGGCCTGAGAGTGAAAAGTCTGTATTCTAGTCCCACGCCTTCCTCTACCTAGCTGTGTGACCTTGACCAAGTCCTTTCATCTCTCTGGGCTTCCATTACCTCACGACTGGTAAAATGAGGACTGGTCTAGATGACATGTAAAGTACCTTTCAGTTATAACATTTTATAACTCTATATAAATGCAGTGAAAGCCTCGGAGGGACAGCTGCCACTGTTTTTGTAATTATTTGGTTCAACAGATCTTCTTGTGGGGAGTATCTGAAAAGACTATCCCCAAACTCAACACTCACACGTCTCCAGAAGAAAGCCCTGGACATCAAATCAGAATTGCTAAGAAGTGTAGTCCCCAGTTATGAGAAAATTACATAGAGAAATAAACCAAAGGGAGGAGAAAGGATCTTACCGCTGGATTGAGCTCTGACACGCCCAACCTACAGAGAACGTCTCCCTTGTCACTGATGGCCCAAAGGGCAATTGAATCCTTGCTGCCTTCCTCACAACCAGGGATGATGGAGACATCCCAGAGAGATATGGGGGCAACTTCCAACCAGGGCCCACTGGTCACCAGCTTACATTTCCTGAGCATCAGAAGAAAAAACAAATACCAAAACCATGAAGTGCAGGTCTCCTGTCTTGCAAATACATGGAGCTCTCAAGGCCTATTTCATTTCTTAACCCAAACATAAGAACCACAAGAGAGGCAGCATGGTGTAGTAGATAGAGTTGGTCCAGGAAGATGTGGGTTCAAGTCCTGCCTTTGACACATACTAGCTATGTCACCCTGGGTAAGTCCCAACCTCTCATGACATCAGGCAACTCTCTAAGACTATCACTACAGAGAAGGTATTGGTAGAAAGGGTTCTTCACTGTATCAATGAAATCAAAGGTCCAATCTCTATCCTAAAAATCATGACTTACAAAGGAGGGCTCAATGCTACTAACATAGGTTGGGTTTTTTATTATTTAACAATTTTGGCCAGAATCTACAAACTTAATAACAGGTCACTCAGGCATAGGCCATGCCTAGGCAAGTTGGTCAAAGTGGATTCTGTCACTTTTATTGGGTTTCCTGGCTCTTCCAAATAATATCATATAAGGGAAGCAATGAAGAGGTAGTAGGAGCCATAACCCCAGTGCCTCACACATTGTTGTTGTTGTTCAGTCATGTCTGACTTTTTGTGACCCCGTGGACCACAGTACACCAGTGCTGTCCATGAGGTTTTCTTGGCAAAGATACTAGAGCAGTTTGCAATTTCTTTCACCATTGGATTAAGGCAAACAGAGGTTAAGTGACGTGCCCAGGACTACATAGCTAGTGAGCGTCTCAGACTGGATTTGACCTCAGGTCTTCCTGACTCCAGGTCCAGCACTCCATCCACAGAGCTGCCTCCAAAGCAAACAGAGAGTTGCCCAGGGTCACAAAGCTCATGAGTGTCTCAGGACAGATTTGAACTCAGGTCTTCCTGACTCCCAGCCCCAGTGCTCTATCCACTCAGCCATCTAGCTGACTCCACCTAGCACACTGTAGGTGCAAATACTTATTGACTGATTGAGGAGACCTTGGGGTCAGAGAGTCCCAAAGTTTTCTTGTTCTCTAGTTTGCTTATGCTTCTAATGAGCTGTCAACTACTCTGGGAGCCCCAGCCCTGCTCTGCCCACAAAGAGCACAGCCAGACAGTGACATTTCTCCTATTTGTTCTTGAAAATAAACACTTGAGAAAACAAGGGAGCACTGGGGACCTCAGGGCATTTCCTGGTTTGACATTTACTTTGATTCTATTTCCGCCTCCAATTTGCTCTCTGCTGGTCAAAAGGTTTATTCCAAAAGGTATAAGAGAAGCCAGATAATTCCCTAAAGAATTCCCAGCAGTTGGAGTAGGAGATGCTACCCATCCTTCTTTGGTTCCCCACCATTACCTTGCCCATCGTCTTCGTCTGACAAAATCCTTCATAGTTTTGTATCCATGATAAGACCTGTGGACAGAAGGAGAATTTTTAATACAGCTTAGCTTCAAAATCTATTTTCCCCAAACAACTTGGTGGCTATGAGAAACTGCTCCTACAAGTGTGCATTCTTTCCCCCACTCTTGGTCACCTGGTTAATTAACAACCACTTACTGAGCTATCTACTATGTGAGGAGCCTGTTCTAAGTCCTATGGGAGACCCTGAAGTAGAAGACATGATCCCTGCCTTTAAGATGCTTCCAGTCTAGACATGCAGGGGGAAAAATACCCATTTAATGCTATGAGAATACCAACATTTCCACAAGCACAAAAATGATAAAATCCAAACTGAATGTTCAAGTGCTATAGCTTCATTTGTAGAAAACAGGGCTAATTAGAGAAGGGATTCTCTTCCTTCCTAGGAAGCTTTAAGGGTCCTTTAAATTTAGGAACGGGGCCCATTCTATAATCCTTACATCTATCCTTAGAACTGTGACTAACGGAAAGTTATGAAGGTTACTCCTGAAGGGAAGGGAAGGGAAGGAAATGGGCCATCTTAATTTCATCTTTGTATGTCCAGAGTCTAACACAGTTATTGGCACACAGCAGGCACCCATATCAGAGTATGGTCACATCAGAAAACTTGAAAACTCTGGCCCTAGGGCTACTAAAGTAACTGTGGTCTTCTTTTCTCTTAACTGTTGATTCAATGGATGAGCTCTCTCTCTCTGGTCCAACTCACTCACCTGATAAAGCCAAAGAATCATTCCTTTGGGCCAGCCATGACCTCAACTTACCACCATTTGTATATGCAATCTATTCAATTCACTATATGTCCATGGGTCAGCATGGTGAGGTGGACAGGGAACACACTGGACTCAGAGTCAGAAGATGGAGGCTTGAGTCTGAACCCTGACTCTTCCTAGCTGTATGACTGTGGACAAGTCATTTAAGATCCCTTGAAACTTAATTTCATAATCTGCAGAATGGGAATCAATCAACAATCACTTATTAAGCTCCTACTGTGCGCCACACTGCTCTAGGAGCTGGGGATACAAAGAGAGAGCTGACATTCCAGTAGGGAAACAACGTGTACACATAGAAGAATACATGCCTCTATCACAGGGTTTTTGTGTAAGAAAAATGCTTTGTAAAACATAAAGTATTACTGCAATGTAGAATATGATTATTAATCAGGAATGGAGTTCTATTTTTCTTTCTTTCACACAAAGTTATTCTTTGCTTTGTGACCTATCTGCAAATTCAGGAATCCTGAGAGGACTAGACTCTCATCTTAAGGGAGTGAGGCGGGGTAGATGTCCAATAGGAGGATCTAATAGTCTGGATCAGTTAGCTCAGTTGGTATAGGCACAGTATTAATAGGGACTAAGATTCTGTGCCCAATCTCAAAAGAGAGCAGTTCAATTGATTCCAGCACTTTCCTACTGCCTCTAGGATAAAATATGAACTCTATGTTGCTGTTAAGCCCTACACCACCTGTCTCCAGTCTATGCAATCCAAGCCAAGTGGCATCTTTTGTGTTCTTCACATTCACAATTCCGTGGCCTGTCTCTGAGCCTCCGATCATCCCCCATGCTTAGAATGCCTCCTCCATCTCATCAGGTCCCTCTGTTCCTTAAGATACAGCCACTCAAGCATCATATTGGTTGTTTCTGATCTCCCCAAATGCTAATACCTTCCTCCCCAAATACCTAGTACTTAACTAATGTGGATATACTTGTATTTATGCAGTGTCTATTTATAAATATATGTGGAGTCTTTCCCATGGACATGTTAGCTCCTTGCAAGCTGGGATTGTCTCATTCTTCATATTTGTATGTCCAGTACCTAAGACAGGTGCTTTGCACAGAGCAGATTCTTAATAATACTTGCCGATTTAATTTGATTCCACAGCCACAGACCACAGCCCTGATCCCTTATTGGCTGTCTTGGTTATAAGGAGGAACAAAAGTGAGAGATTTGGAAATGAATCAGTCCCACTGAGGGAAAATGCCTCAAAGAATACGTCTTATGGTTCACAGGTGTCATTACAAAGAAAAGTTTATGTTATTTTTGTAGAAGTAGTATTTTGGCATTGTCAACAGAGCTGGCATCAAATCCAGGAAGAAGTGAGTTCAAGTCCCAACCTTGACATATACTGCCTGTGTCACCCTAGACAAGTCACTTAATCCCAGAGTATAAGGCCACTCTTTAAGACTTTCTATTGCACTGAAGGTGCAGGGAATTTCCTCACCTGGGCATTCTCCCTAGCAATCAAATCACAGGTCCTATTCCTAGCCTATTTTTCTATGTTGAAGCCATGGAGCCAACGACAGTGATGATTCTCATGGAAAATCTCTTCCATTAGGAAGCTCCTTCAAAATGTGACAAGGTCTTACTTAAGGCAGCTCTTTTCTTTTTTATTATTATTTATTTTTAGTTTTTAATACTCACTTTTATAAGATTTTGAGTTCCAAATTTTTCCCCTTCCCTTCCCTCCACTCCCCAAGAGAGCATACAAATCTGATATAGGTAATACTTGTACAATTATATTAAACATATTTCCACATTAGTCATGTTGTGAAAGAAGAATGAGAACCAAAGGGAAAAATTATGAGAAAGAAAAAAAAAGAGAGAGAAAATCATATGCTTCGATCTGCATTCAGACTAAGGCAGCTCTTTTCAAATAGGACTTCCTATCTAATCCCCATTTCTGTTTTTCCCCACATAGTTTTTCATTTCAATTTCACCCAGCTCTCTACCAGGTAAGACATGTGAGGACCACCTAGCAGACACCACTACATATCAGAGAGAATAAACTGACTGAGCACATGGGAAATCTTGAATGTTTCTACATAAACAGAGCCTAGGTTGACCCTCTTTCTCCATCTTCCTCTGAACAGCTGAAGCTGTAGGGCTTCCCCCAGGAGCCTGCTAAAGCAATCTAAATCCACCAGTGGGTAATCACACCAGCACAAGTCTTGTTCCCACTCTTTAGCTTATTAACAAATTGTAATTGTTCACAGCTACTGTTTAGAGGGCTCAGCTTCCAGTGTCTGAGCCAGTTTGGGGAATGATTTTTTTTTAAACCTTAAAAGGTTAACATATAAGCCACTAATATATGGCATTTAAGGATGATCCTGAAATGCTTCCTTCTATCTCACAAGACTAGACATAGAGTGACTATCTGAGGCCGTTAAGTATCAGGAAATCATAACTTCCATGATGACACAGCAGAGCAACTAGATTTTGGAAGAAGGGGGGAGGAGGAAGTGTTACTTAATGAGTTAAATATTCAATATTTAACTACATGAAGGGTTTTTATGAGAAATTGCAAATAAGGTAATATATACAAAGTACTCTGAAAGCTTTAAAGAGCTATAAAAATACTAGCTATTAAAAGTCTGCTGACCAGTTTTGTTTTTTTTTTATATTCATGAAAGCATAAACAAGGAGAAATGGACTGAAACTGAATCTGGAGAAATTATGGCTACACATAAGGAGGAAGTTCATGACAATCAGGGAAAAATATACTAGGATGGGCATCTGGGTAAAAGTATGGCACTTCTGCACCCACCTTTCCCTTCCCAGTGATCTTTAATAAGGGAAGATTTTGTCAATCAGCTGCCTGAGGACACTGACCTTCTAAATCAATGGTTTCTCAATAACACTTTACTATATGCATCTAGAAATGGAAAATGCTCACGATGGAAAGTCACTTGCATACTGCCATCCTTCTCGATCAGTTCCACCAGATGTGTTGAAATCAATATACCAGTCAGAAACCTAGAGTAGAAAGAGAATGCTGTTAGGAGCTGTTTCTCCTCCCTTCCTCAAGTTCTTCCAGTACAGGGTGCCCATCAATTGAAGAATGGTTGAACAAATTATGATATGTGACATACTGGGATATCACTATACCAGAAGAAATGATGAAAGGGATGGTTTCAGAGAAACCTGGAACACTGAGTATGAACTGATGCAGAGTAAAGTGAGCAGAATCAGAAGAACAATTTATATAGTAACAACAACACTGTAAAGACAAACAACTTTTAAAGACTTGAGAACTCTAATCAATGCAATGACCAACCATGATTCCAGAAGACAGATGCTGAAGTATGCTACCCCCCCACCTCCTGACAAGAGAGTTGATAGACTCAGGGTGCAAAATAAGATGTGTTTTTTGACATGGCCACTGGGGGCTGTTTTGTTTGACATGAATATGTGTTATAAGAATTTGGTTTTATGTGTTTGTTTGTTTGTTTGTTTTTTCAATGAAGAGAGGAGGGCAAAGTGGGAGGGAAAGTAGATTTTTGTCAATTAAAAAAATTAAATTTTAAAAAATGATGAATAGGAGGGTTTCAGAGGCAGAGTGAAGTGAACAGAACCAAGACAATTTATATAATAACAGTAACACTGTAAAGATAAACAACTTTGAAGGACTTAATTCTGATCAATGCAATGACTAACCACAATCCTAGATGACTCATGATGAAGAATGCTACACACCTTCTGACTGGGAGGTAATGGATTTAAGATGAATGATAAGATACCTATTTTTGGACATGGCCAATGGGGGTATTTGTTTTGCCTGCTTGTGCATATTTGTTATGATTACAAGGATTTTGTTGTTGTTTTTTCAACTGGGGTGAGTGGGAAAGGGACAAAATGTATGCTTGTTAATTTAAAAATTAAAATTAATTTAAAAAATTCCTCCTTGTGCTAGCATTACTTCCCTAAGTCAGGTGACATGAAGTACAGGGCCCAGGACTTACCCATGTCCAATGGAGGGAGGGAGGCTTGGTGTTGGCCTTTGTGCATTCTTGCAACCCAGTCACATCACTCCACATGTAGCGGTCAGTAGGCAGACCCCTGCAATGAGGCAATAGGAAGAGATAAGATACACAATGGAGACCTTCAAAGCGTCTCCAAAGCAACAGGAAAAAAAAACAAAACACCACACTCTTCCTAGTTCCCTATGTTAACACACCTACTGTGGGATGGGTCTAATGACACTAAGACAAATTACCCCCAAACAAGAATATCTGGATACAAGACCTGCTTAAGTCATGAGCCAGGCTGTTCCTGGAAGCTGGGTAACTGCCTTTCTCAAGTCACCTCCAGAAGGAGGCAAGAGGAGGAAATGGAGGTTACTAGCTCACACCACACCAAACCATCAGTATACATGAGTTTACAGGATGTGACCTGCATGATGACTACAGCTAATATAGTTCCTGGGGACCACTCAACTTTCTGCATCCCTCCTGAAACAACTAGATCATTAGAGTCCCAATCCTTGTTTTCCGTTTGAGCTGGAAAGACTATTAGCTCTAGGGACAATTTCCTGGCACTCTCTAACCTTGTAGCTAAGAAACTCTAAGGTAGGTTCTAGTGTATGGATGGTCTGCTCATTAACTTTGGAGGGAGCTGAGGTACTTTACAAGCCAACAGAGCTGCTCCTGCTGTCTCATCTCATGGATTTAAAACAAAGCAAAACTAAATTAATCCCCAGAAACCACAGGGTCCTTTTTTTCTTTAAAGCTCACGCTGCTGACTCGGTAAACAAGATGACTGAGGGGGCAAACATCATTCTTGCCAACACTCATGATTACAAGGCTTCCACTTCAATCCAGGGTTAAATAAACAGGTGGCCATCTCAACCTCTTCTCTCCACCTCCGGTAGGCTCTGGATCCCTTTCCCTGGAGTTATGGCCTCCTGCCACCCATGCATGCCTCTCTGGTGTTACAAGTGCTTTATGCTCTCTGCGTAGTTAAATTATACTGTCATTATCTAGTGTAGGCTAGTGGATAAAGCTCTGGTTACAGATTTTGCTACTGACTTGCTACGTAACTTTATATCACTTAGCCTCTCAGAGCCTCAGCATTTTTCTCTCTAAAATGGGGATAAAAATACCCGCCCCTTTTCTCCTCCTCAGGGATAAGAATTGCTGTTTATAGAAAAAATGCTTCATGATAACAGAAAGGTGATGAACTAAGGATGCAGAAAGAAAGAGATCTTTAGAAATGAGTAGTTCAGGAAGCTGTTTGCTTGATTATGTATGTATAAGGGTTTTTTTCTTTTCTTTTCTTAAATGGGGAGAGAGGACTAAGAAAATCATTAGGGGTCCCCTGAGGTATGAGGAGAGAAAAAAAGAAGCAAAATTTAATTTTTAAGAAAAGCACCTATGATTTAAACTTTTTAAAAAAGTAATGTACTATAGGAATCTAAGTTACAGAAGAACTCATTTATAACATTGGTGATGGGCATAGCACAAACATTTATGACTAATAGTGTCTATCTTATGCAGGGTGTCCCTGACCATAAGCAAGTCAATTAAGCACTCAGGGGTCTAGAGGCCTCTAAGACTGTATGTGGCAGAGATGGTTCAAACCTGCTTTGGTACAGGGAGTTTTCTTACCTGGAAGTGTCCTACACCATTGAAAACATAGGTCCAGTCCCTCTCCCTAGAACACAGGCAAACCTGAAGACAAACCCTGGCTCTCAGAGAAGAGGGGAAACACCCCAGGTCTTCCAGGCTGACATTCCTAACCCCTGCCTGGAAGTTTGTGGTGACTGTTCTCTCTTTTCACTGCTATCTGTATCTCACCTGCTGGTATAGCCCGTGACAGGATTCCAGCGCTGGTTTTCATAAATATAAACGCATTTGACATCTGACTGCATGTAGATGTTACTGGTACTGCTGGCCAGGCCTGAAGAGGAAATGTCCTCTGTGAATCAAGTGTCAGGCAACACTCCCTGCCCCCTCCCCAGCTTCAGGTCCACAGACAGATACCTGCCAATGGAAAACAGGCTTAACCTGCTACTGCTAAGAACATAAGGTTCTATTCTCAGGCTTTCTTCATTTCAAAGCCAGCAGAAGTTACAGGCTTACCTGAGCTTACCAGCAAACAAGGCATTTTCTTTTACATATGTCCCAGACAGATGGCAGGATCCCCCATCAGATCCAGCCCAGAAGACTGGGCACACAGTTGGTACCTAAAAAGGTCACAGCTACAGGTTCTGAGCCCAGCTAACCAAGGCAATGGGGAACAGCAGAAACAACACTGGCCTAGGGGCTAGGGACTGGGTTTCTACAGCCAGGTCAGTCACATGCTTGCTGTTCACCCTCAGGCAAGTCACCTGAGTTCTCTGTGCCTCAGTCCCCTCACCTGTTAGGAAAAGAGAAATTGGACTAGAGAATTTCTAAAGTCCCTTTTCCACTCTAAAACTGTGTGTTCTTACAAAGCTTACTTTTACTCAGCATATCAAAGCATCGAAAAGCAAAGACTTGTCCAACAGGTTGGGAAGCAGAAAATAAAGTCATTCCTCCCAGTTCTTTCCAGAAACATGCCCACTCAGACAGGCTGAAGGGGCAGTGATAGGCTGGTTGGTGAGGGGGCTCCACTGATGGGACAGAGGAGGGGCTGAGGAGAGGCCCCAAGATGCCCCAGGCAGCAAATGCCATGACACTGGGACTCTGTTTCCTTTCCCTTCCTCATCTCAGCCAGGAGGTTGGCATCTCTGAAGGTCACCTGTCAACCAGCTGTTTGCTAGAGAGTAAACATCACAGCAGCAGCTAGAGTTCAGGCATTTGGTAAGAAAACAAAATGGGGATTAAACCAGGGAACAAATACACCGCAGACCAGTTAAAAAGGGACATGGTAAGTTGCATGGCTTCATCAGTAAATAGGAGAGAGGACCTTGGTGACCCACACTGAACAGCCTGGAGACGAGTCCTTGCTTACCTTGAAAAAAGCCTCCACCATATCCCCCAGTGTACACCCAGGCTGTGTGATCATAACCGATGCCCCATACAACACCATGGCTGTTGCACTCCACTACCCGAAGGTGGCCTCCAATCTGACGCCAAAACCTAAGAGAGAAGGGGTGACAAGATACACATTTTAACCTCCTGACATCCTTAAGGAGTCAGCCAAGATCTCAGGATTCTGAGCAAGCAGGAGACATCCAATCTGAATCCGTGACCGGCGGTTGGGTGGAAGGTAAAGTTTAGAAGGGTGATTTGGGGTCAGGCCATAAATGTCAAACACAATGGTATCCACTTTATGGATGGGCCAAAACTCTCCTTATGAAAATACCATGTGATGGATTATTATTATTTCACAAAACATGGAATTAAAGCTTTTAAAAAGTGAAATGGTGTCATGTTTGCAAAGTACTCCATGGACTAAGTGGCAAATTCACATGAGTTTGACGTCCTTGGTCTTAAAGGACATACAATTGGCTCTAAAAAAAGTGCCAAATAGGGTGACAAAACACAGACTGTGGAGGAAGGAGATGAGGAAGAGGTAAGTAACATTTTGGGGGATGCCTGTTAGCTCCTATGAACTGGACAAGACCAATCTCTCAATTCGAGAGTGCTTCAAATTAATTTAGAGCTTAGTAGGTAGCCTGCACTCACTATTAGACTAGGCCTGAGCCTAGAAAAGAGGGAAGAGAATAAGCATTTATATAGTGCTTACTACGTGCCAGGCACTATGCTAAACATTTTACAATTATTATCTATTTGATTCGCAGAACAACCCTGCAAGACAGGTGCTCTTATTATTCCCATTTTACAGTTGAGGAAACTAAGGTGAACAGAGGTTAAGTGACTTGCCCAGGGTCCTGCAGCTACTAAGTATCTGAAGTTGGATTTGAACTCAGGTCTTCCTGAGGCCAGGCCCAGCACTCTTATCCATTTGCTATCTAGCTGCCTCTTAGTACATCCAGTTGGACTCAGTCTCTTAAGATCCCTTTCAGGTTTAAATCTGTAATGCTATGATGCCAGCTGGACTATACACCCCTAAAGGAGAGGTGCTATGGCTTTTACTTTTCCATCCATCACAACATTTAGTACTAGTGGCAAGTAGTAGATGTTGAATAAAGGTATGTTTAGTTTACTAAAAGATTAACCAACTAAATGGTAGTGTGTAAAGGTGCTGGACTTGGAGTCAGGAAAACCTGAGTTCAAATCCAGCCTCAGACACCTGCTAGCTGTGTGATTCTGGGCAAGTCACTGAACTGCTACCAGACTCAATTTCCCCATTTGTAAAACAGGGATAATAATAACAGTATTAACTTTACAGTGTTGTGGTAAGAATTAATACACAGTGCTTTTCAAAACTTAAAACACTAAAGGAATGCTATTAACCAGAATAATGAGGAGTCTGTCCCTTGCTATACAGAGACTGCTTAGAGACAGAGAGGGAAAGAAGTAATGGCTAGTCTCAGATTCTGCTGCCCTAGTGACAACCAATCCTGAGAGGCCCTACCAACAAGCAAGGTCAGAGATTATTCTTGGGTATATTCCAGGACAAAGCAATGTCTACTCTGCCACTGAACATGCCCTGCATATCCCCACCTCCACTACTCTTACACATTATGTTTCCCTGGCTAGAATTCCCTCTCTCCTCCTCACTGCCTATTCAAGTCCTACTGGATCCTTTGGATCCCAGAGCAAGACCCATCTCTTCCACTAAACACTCCACTAAATGCCAGTGACCTTTGTCTTGTGAACTCCCACATCGCAGCAGCTTTAGAAAGACAGGATGACATCCTATTTACCTTTGCACCCCCCACCACACTAACCACTCCACCTTGTCCATAACAGGCTACTGCTAATTAGTCAACAACCTAATGGGGTAATATAGAATCTCAAGAACATATCAGTAGTCTGATGAATACCTTGGCAACCATGGTATTGTAGAACAAACACTGGGTCTGGAATAAGGACAGAGCAACTGGGTTTGAACCCTGGTTCTGTAGCAAGCATAGTACAGTTCAAAAAAAGCCACACGGCTCTGGTGTCAGAGGGCCTGGGTGACCTTGGGCAAACTGCTTTGTCTCCCCAGGCTTCAGTTTCCTGTTCTGTAAAATGAAGGGGGTTGGGGGGGATGGGCTCATGGCCTCCGAGAGCCCTCTCAGACCCAGGGACGTGATCAAGGCAGTCCCTTCTCCTCTCCGAACTTCAGTTTCCTCATCTGCAAAATAAGGAGGTTGAGCGAGATCATCTCTAAAGACCCTTCCAACTCTAAATCTTGTGATACAAATTTAAGCACATAATAATCAAGCTTTATTTTATATGTTGTTTATGGCTGCCTATATACTAAATCATTTAACTTTCAGAAGCATGGGGGGGGAAGATGCAGAGCAGTTATCATGATCCCTATTTTATTTAGTTAATTTTAATTAAAATAATTTCAATTTAAAGCAGCAATGATTAATATTATTTTAATTTTAACTTGCCTAAAGGGCCCAGGGCTGGATACAAAGGACAAAGACTAGAACCCATATCTTTGGACTACTAGGCTAGTCAATTTTCTAATCAATTGATAAGCATTTGTCGAACACCTGCTATACTATATACTGGGCACTGTCCTAGACTCTGCATATAAAGACAAAAATGAAACAGACCCTGCGCTCAAAGGGCTTCCATTCTATAGAGTAAGACATCATGGACAACACGTAAAGATAAGTTTACATAAGTACATAGAAAATAAAGACAATCTATAAAGAGAACACCATATTTATTGTTTCTCTTTATCATTTGTCCCTTGAGAATGAGGGGAGAAGCAAGGGGCAGCTGGTACAGTGGAAAAAGCACTAGATTTGGAGTCTTTAGGACCTAGGTTCAAATCCCAGCTCTACTACTTAGAGCATTACCAGAGTGATATTAGACAATTCACTCACCTCTCTGGGACTGTAAAAGGAAAGGGCTGGACTGAATGAGCTCTGAGGGCCCTTAGAGCTCTACAGCCATGATCCTATAAAATAGTAAGCTTTACTAGCAAGAGCAATAAATGCTTCCTGGAGTGTGACACCACAGAGGAGCTCTGGGCAGCCATGTGACAAAGCAAGGGCCCTGAGTGCCTGGACCATAAGCATGCAGGCATTTTTAAATGGGGAGGTGGGAGGGAGGGAGAGAAGATGGATTTTTGTCAGCTGAACAATATCAAATTAATTTTTTTCTTTTTAAAACATGAGTACAGGGTAAAAGAAGCAATGATGAGAAGGAAAACAGTTAACTCAGAAAAAAATTCTTACAGCAAGTTTCTCTGATAAAGATTTCATTTCCAAAATATATAAGGGACTTATTCAAAATTATAAGAACAAGAGCCATTCCTGGATTAATAAACTGTCAAAGGATATCAATAAACAGTTTTCAAAAGAGGAAATCCAAGCTACCCATGGCCATATTAAAAAAAAAATGTTCCTAAACTAATCAGAGCAATGAAAATTAAAGCAATTCTTAGGTTCCACCTCATATCCCTTAGATTAGCAAAGTTGACCAAAAAGGAAAATGACAAATGCTGGAGGGGCTATGGGGAAAGAAAACGGTGAATTATTGGGCCAGCTCTTCTGGAAAGCAAATTAGAATGATGCCCAAAACTAACTATGCATGTCCTTTGACACAGTGATACCATTACTAGGCCTGTACACTCAAGAGATCAAAGAAAGAGGAAAGGATCCATCTATACAAAAATATTGATAGCAGTTCTTTTTCTAATGGTAAAGAACTGTAAACTAAGGGAAGGGATGGGCATTGTTTGGAGAACAGCTGAACAAATTATAGCATTTGAATGTAATGGAACATCACTGCGCCATAAGAAATGATGAAAAGGATGGTTTCAGAGAAACCTATTAACATTTACATGAAATGACGCAGAATAAAAATTATTCTAGAGAGCAATGATGAAAAATGTCACCCACCTCCTGATAGGTGACAGACACAAGGTGCAGAATGAGACATGTTTTGACATGACCAATGTGAGAATTTATTTGCTTGATTATGCATATATCTTACGTGGCTTTTGTTTTTGTTTTTTCTTTTTTTCAACTGGTAGGAGAGGAAGTGGGAAGAGAAGATAAATGCTTGGTAATTGGAAAAACAAAAACAAAACAAACAAAAGAATCAAGGATATAGGCAGGGCAAAGTCCCAAAGGATTAGTGGAAAGACACTGAAGAAAGACAAGCTGCCTGTCAGACATTTATTTCTTCCTAGGGATCTCATACAGCACAAAACCAGATCCTAAAACTCCCCCTTCCTTAGGAATTACATATCCCACTCCACCTTTCCTCCTGGGAAATCAGCTCTAATTCATCCACTTACACATCAAAATGTAAATAAATTAGTCTCTAGGGTTTGGTCTCTCAGGAGGAAGCTCTCAGGTGTACTTATCCTTCAGGAGCCAGGAGGTAAAGCAATACATTAAGCTGATGGTACAACAGACACTTCTGACATATGGACCAGAGAGCAGGTTTGCTGGGAATTGCTTACATTTGGTCACATGGCATTGGATGCATGAGTGCCTCCAGGTCCGCACTGGGCTCACTCACAAAAATGTCTCCTTTGCAAGTGACAGACCAGATGGCCTGGGGGGAAGGGCGGCCTTGGATCCTTCGGCTTTCGGAGCATGATGTACTGAGTAGAGCAAGCTGTGAAGATGAGACAGATGGCAAGTAACTGACCCAGAAGAGTAGCAAGAAAACTCACAAGAATCCCAGAGGACAATTTCCAGGGAGTGATGGGGAGTGACTCGCACATTTTTATGAGGAAGAAAGGAAGGAAGAACGGCCCTTGTCCCTGGAGATTCATCCTAATAGCAGCCTGGTATTTGGGGGAATTTACCATCCTGATTTGTGAATCTGGAAATGGATCATTCAAACCCTCACCTTGAAAGATTCACCTTGGCCAAATCATGTGCCCAAGAGGTTTAACACTCACCCAATCATACATTTCTTGCTCAGTAGCAGCAGCGAGACGGATGGGCCACCTCTGTTTGGTTTTCTCTGGGGTATAAAGGGCAAATGAATGTTTGGCCTCATTTAGTACGGGTACCAGCACCGTCACTTCATTGAGAAATATGTGGATGTACTGTTCAAAGAGGGCAGGAAAAAACCATAAGCTTTCCATGAATGTTTCCTTCCTTTGGGTTCAATCTGTACCCTTTTGTCAATATCAAGGGGACTTAGGGACAGATGCTACCTGTGCCTCACCCAGTATTCTTAATCACAGAAGGTCATGCCTGAGAGGAACTAAGCCACCTAGCTCTGTATTCCCCCAGACCATACGTCCTCCTCTTTACCTTAACCATTTTCTTCTCTACCACCACATGTCCCTTCTTTTCTTCCCCTTTCCACCTTCTACCTCCTTCTCTGAGAATTGTAATCAAATCACCTCTGGCCCCTGGAAAGAGTGTCTTAATGGACTGCTCTAGTGTTCCATTCACCATCTTAGTGAAATTCAGGTCAGTTCAGGACTCTATTACCTGTGCACAGTTCTCCTACATGCATAATCCTCCCCCATGAGGACATAAGCTCAAGGAGAATAGCAACTGTTAAAGCTTTTAGTTCATTCAGCAGCAGAATCAGACCTCTTATTACTCAGTTGTGTTCCCTTCCTTACCAACACTCTTCTTTTGGAGAGGGACAAGCCAGGAAAGCAGCTAGAGCCTGTGCTCTCCACATTCTTATCTTGTCTATTAAAGTTGTTAAAACAACAACTACTACAACAATAGTGCCATATATGTGGCTAATCTAAGTCACCCAATGAAACTCAGATCTCAGGGTGAGGACAGGGTCTCAGAACCAACACCTTGGCTATCAGTTAGTGCCTGGCCTCTTAATCAGTACTAGCATCCTGAACAATATGACCCACACCTGCCACTTAGAGCCAGCAGGTACCTGTTGGGAGGTGGGAAGCTCCCAGAGCATAGGAACTAAGGCTTTGCACTCAAAAAAATGTTACAATTAGGTAGTTAACATTTTTTTAAGCCAGACGTGCAATGTAACTTCTTTTAAAAACAACTCTATAATTCCACTGGTGTAAGAAACAACCAGGAAAGTATTTCTTTCTTTACCAATGCAGACCACAGCCTTCTCTGCAATATCTAGTCTTAGAGAGGTGCCTGGGGCACTTTAAGGTAAAGTAATTTGCCCAGATTCACACAGCTAGTATGTGGCAAAAATGGAGCTAGAACCCAAATCTTCTTGATGACCAGGCCATCTCTATCCTCTACACCAGAGGTGTCAAACTCATGGCTACAGACTGCAAAACTCTAGAGCCAGGGCAGGAACCAAATTAAAAATGCAACTGGGAAACGTTAAACAAAATAAATAAAAAATAACAACATAGATAATCTTAATTTGTGGTTTTCCAAGTCAATATACTAGTTGCAGGGACGTCTTTCTATTTGAGTTTGACATCACTCTTTTCTATCACTCTACCTTCTCAAATAAACATACACAGTTAAATTTAATAAAAGCCTTTCTGATAACAAATTTTGCTCCTAGGAATTCCTACGGCTATGGTATTTGTATTTCAAAATCTCAGACTAGGATTCCTTTGGATACTTTCTTCCCAAAATAGGTTTGCCGAGGGCAGCCTAACCCCCTTACTTTCATTCCAGCTTCCTTTGTGTCCCCTCCAGGGCTTGCCCTGGTCCCCACTCCCTTCCTCTCCCTTGCCATCTGCTACAGCACCTTCTTTTCCTCATGGAACATGTAGTAAATGAAAAGGATGCTGTCTCGAGTCCCATCATTCCCAGTGAACTGCTCCAACGCTACCCGGACATCGATCCACTTGTGGGGCTTCCAGTCTGCCCACCACTGCAGTGTGCCAGTCTTCACCCACACCGACTGCAAGAGGCACCCAGAGAGTGTAAATACAAAGCAGGGTTAGTGGCAAAAACCCGAAAAGCCTAAGGAGCCTTACGCAGACCTAGACAGATGCCTTCTGAAAGAGACCCCACAGCCCATGTGTGAAGCACGTGTTCGTTCCTTTTGAGAGTTGGGCAATACCTTTTAAAGTCCCTTAAGAGCCCCATGTGCTTTCTTACCCCTCACTTCTCTTTGTTCCATCTCTATAAAACAGGAAGAAGCAAGCTCTGGAAGAACCCAGGGCACAGAGGGCCTAATCAGGCCTCAGGTCAGGTGGTAGGTCATCAGTGGAGAAGGGATCATTCTCTGGGCAGAGCTCTCTACAACAGGAGGCAGCCTGTTGTAGGGGAACACAGGACCCAGGAGTTTCTGGTTTTGTCATTTACTCACTGGATTACCACGGAAACCTTGACCTCTCTGTCTATAAACTATAAATTATAATATCTATATTGAAAAGGCACTGTGAGGAAAGTGTTCTGTAAGCAGAGCAGGGACAGGAAGTGGACCTAGGGAACTCTCAGGTAAAGAAATTCCCTTTACCACTGCAAATGGACCCATATTCTGCAATTTAAAGTTTTCAGAGCTGCCCAGAGTACTGACAGGTTTAGAGACTTGTCTGGGGTCAAACAGCCAGAAAGGATCAGGGGCAGGACTCAAACTCAGAGCTTCTTAGCTCCAAGGTCAGTTCTCCATCCACTAGTCCATGGATGCCTTAAAGCATAATGTAATCATCACTACTCGTTATTATTATTAGAAAATGTTCATTTCCCCTTAGCTTAGCATTTAGGCCAACAAAGGGCTGATTGAGCAGGGGCTGGTTTCCAGGTATTTCTGGGTCCAGAGTCAGGACAAGGCTTCAAGCGACTGATCAATCTGTTGGCCCAGAGACTCCACACTGCCACCAACAACTTAAAATTCAAGGCTCAGTGACACTGGTACAAATTTTGTTTTTCCGACAGTGAAAAAGCAACAGTGGTATTAACTGGTTAGAAGGGTCAAGAAGTATCCGCTCACCTGCTCGACAGCCTGCTCATAGTGTCTGAAATTCTCTAGTTCTCGCTTGGTCCTTTCCGTGAGCTGCTGGAAAATCTGCTTTCGCCACGCTGCCGTCTGGGCCGGAGTGATAGACAAGGAGAGCGTCTGCATGGAGGTGGAGAGACCTGAAAGTCAGAGAGACATGATGGTCATGTCAAGGGTAAGCAGCTTGGCTCAGAAGACAGGTGTCAAGCCTATACAAAGAAGGGTGGCAAACAAAGGCATCCCCAACCCCCCCCCCTTTTTTAAAACGAGGCTTTGTTTTTCTCAAGAATCAAAAAAATAGAAAAACAAACAAAACCACTCTTCTTTACTTGTCCAAAACCATTACTTGATGGGTAAGTTCTAATTGCATCACTGCACCAAAGCTCTGGAGGTGGGAAGGACTTTAGAGTTCACATCTAGTCCAACCCACTCGTTTTAAAGACACAAAAACTGAGGCCCAAGAAAGTTAAGGTCACATAGGTAGCAATCATGAGAGGTAAGATTTGAACTCAAGTCCTATGACTCTAGAGGCAGAACTCTTTCTAATATTTCATACTGTCTTGGAAAGGAATGCATTCACGGTTAATGCTTTTCTCTTAACCTGGGAGGAAAATAAACTAACCTGATCAAAAGAGTGAGATTAGATTGGGGTTGGGGGGGAGGAGTTGGGGAAGAGCAGGAAAGAGAGGAAAGGACCTCAGACAATTTTTGCTACCCAATGCTGTGGGAGCTGGTTTCTTTTTTCATGGTACTTTATTTGTCAATTAACAAGTATTCACTTTCTCTCCCTCTCACCTTACCTCAAAAAAACCCAAAAAAACAAAAAAATAAAGCTCTCTTAAAAAATGTGCATAGTTGAGTAAAACAAGTTCCCAAATTGTCCATATCCAAAAATGTATATCTAATTCTGCATCTTGAATTCATTACCTGGGAGCGAGTTTCTAAAATCCATACCCACACTTAAGCTCCAGGAAATTAGATAAAAAGCTAGTTAGCACAGTTGGCTAGGGAAGAGTGCCAACAGATCCAAAGCCACAGGTGCAATGCTGATATGAACCATTTATGATCTGTTTACTGTTTCATGTTGGTGGCCATGGACTGCACCTGTAACCTTGGCCTACCATTTTGCAGGTGTGTGCTGCTGGTCACAAGGGGGTCTGGGAGAAAGAGTATGAATGCTTCTGTGCAACTGGTCCCCACCACTGGGCAAACATCTCAGGGCTCTGACAGTGGCAGGTCAATCTTCATACCCTATTTTAAAAGTTAATAAGAAGTGGGGGAGGGAGCAGGGAAGGCACAAGAGTTAATATCTGCAACGAATCAAGTTCCAGTATAAGGATTCCTTGAGGATGAAGAACAATACTCAGAGCAGGATTCGTGAGATTGGTAAGAATGGCTAAACGTCATGGCAGAAAAGAGAATCTGTTTGTCCCTACAGTCCTGGTCACCCACCACCTGACGCTACCCAGAGTTTTGTCATGCAACACCTGATTACAAAGCCACATTTCTGGCTCCTGGGGAAGAGGAATCCAAAAGGACATTCCTCAAGTTATATAGCATCTGTTTTACGTGTAATCTGCTGTCTCAGCCAGGAAAGGGGGTGGGGAGAAATGCCCTGTGGAGAGTTCTACAGAAATAATGCCCCAAAAATCCAGTTAGCCAGTCTCAAAAAGCTATATGTCACCCAGGCCAATGGCACCCCATTCAAGAATTTTAGGGCCCTCTCCTCAAATGCCTTTCCCCTTGTCTAATAAACACAGGGGACACCTGGGGTTAGCTGGACAGTTTGCTCTGAGGCCCCTGCCTCAGAGATCCCATGATAAGGTACCTGAACTGAACAGCAGATCCCAAATCTTGGTTTCTAAAACGTTCCCCAAATGGAAATGGAGAACCCTTAAGGTGAGTCAACACTACAGATGTTTCAACCAGTACATTTACAGCTCCACACCACAGCTGGAAGATCCCTCGCTTCCCTGCCAGCAAACACCAGTCTGTTTTTAGAACTGATGCCATCTGTCCTTTTTTTGCCCACCTGAAAGACATCAGTTCAAGTCCTGCCCCAGATACCAGCTAAGTGATTCTGGATAAGTAACTTAGGCCTCAATTATCTCATATAAAATGAGAGGGCTGTATTTGATGACCTCTAAGGTCTACTGTAGCTCTAATCTATGAATCTTATGTGGCTTCATTTCCTTGCGCCTCAGTTTCATCGTTTGTAAAATGAGAGGGTTGGACTTGATTATCTCTGAGGTCACTTTCAGCTCTAGGATCCCCACACATTGCCTGGCCTGCCTCAGCTCATCCCAGCCTTTATTTCTTCTGTGGTCATGCCTGTGCTTATGTCGAGTCAGATCTCACCAACTCTTAACCCTACCCCAGTCCAAGAAGGTGAATACCTGACTGAACAGTGAACCACTTCAGGACTGTATGGGTCTCCACTGTGCAGCCTCCTCCAGACACCCAGGCCCACAGTGGGTGATCATCAGCTCCATAGCCCTCCTCCAAACCCATAGGAAAGAGCCCCAGAGAAGAGAGGCTGGTGGTCTCCGCGTAGCAGGCTGCAGAGTGGGCAGAGGTTTTCCGAGTTTCCTTCAGGTCAATGTTAGTCCAGGGGAGCTCAGCCGGAGCAGGATCTGGCCTGGGAGATGGAGCGGTGACCTGAGCTTTCTCCTCTCGGTTCACAGATAAGGCTGCCTCCTCTTCACTGGAGTCCCCCAGAGCCCCCGAGCCCACGGCAGAGCTCTCGGGGCAGGGCCTGCTGCTGCCTGAAGATAGCTCATACTCAGACACCAGCCCTGGCCTGTCAGCCTCAGAGGAAGTATCAGTGTCACTTGGAGCCAAGGAGTCACCACTGCCTCTCACTTCGTCACCAAAGAAACAGCCAGCACTGGGGATAAAAACACAACCAAGCTATTGTTTATACACACATCAAATAACCTGAATAACTCAGTTCCCGCAAACCTTGTCCTAACAGGTTGTTAAGAAGAAGGATTCCTACTGGGTGAACTGAAGAATAGTCAGGGCCGGAACATGGGGAAATCTGGGACATTCATCTTTCCCTCACTCTGTGGAGGAAGGGTGTCTCAGGCTGATGGAACCAGTACAACTCTGCTCAGAGAGGAATACCAAGTGTTATCCTCTCACTCAGTCACTGAGCCAGCAGACCTGGCTTTGACTTTGACTCTCATCTCTGCCCCCTACCAGCTGTGTGGTCTCAAATAAGTCACTCAACCACCGTGTGCCTCAGTATACTCACCTAGACAACAAGGTTGGACCGCTAAGGTCCTTTTTGTCTCTTGCATTCTGATCCTACGATAGCTTTCTTGGCACCTGGATCTCACTCGTACTCTTCTTTCCTCCAATCTATGTTTTTCCCCTTCCTTCAAACCCTGCTCAAAACTACCCCTCCCATGAATCCTTCTGTGGTTATGCCACCTAACTCCAACCTACCAGCACTGACTCAGTACCCAAGACTATGCTAAAGCCTGTGGGGGATAAAAGAAGAACAGAACATGGTCCCTGCTCACAAGGAGTTTATCACCTGGGGGACAAGACCAACAGAAATGAAATGAATGCTTCACTATGTGGTTCTAACTCAAAGTGCTTTCAGAGAAGGGTGAGACCAGATGTGGCTGGAGAAGCTGGGGGCTTCATGGAAGATGCAGTGTTTGTACGGAGCCTGGAAGGATGGAAAGGATTTAGATGGGAGTTAAAAGGCCCTCCAGGAATGGAGAAACAGTATGAGGAAAAGCAGAGATGTGGGAATGAGCATGACCTGTCTGAGAATGAGGAAACCTGTCTGACTTGGAATAAACAGTGAGTGCTGAGGAGCAGGAGAAGATAAGTTGGTATAGATAAGTTGCGATAGATTATGGAGAGCCTGGAAACTAGGCAGAAGAGTCTGGACTTGATACAATGGGCAACAGGGAACCACTGCTGATTCAGAAGCAGGGGAATACCATGATAAAACAGTGTTTTGGGAGGGCTGGACTGGCAGTGATGCTTGTGAGGCAGTGAAAGGGGGAGAGTCTGGAGGCAGGAGGACCAGACGAGGGACTGCTACATTCCCTCAGAACACGACAAACATTTTGCACTTTATTTCATGTTTATCTGGGGATTTATTTTGAATCTTTTTCATGAGGATGTATCCTGCTCTTCCCCAAGACTATAAATTCCTTGAAGACAAGGACCCTGTTAATTCCTTCCTCTGAAGCCCTCAGAGGGCCAGCTAATGCTTTTCAAATATTGGAACCTTAACATCCCTTTCTTTTAGGCAATTGGGGTTAAGTGACTTGCCCAGGGTCATAGAGCTAGTAAGTGTCAAGTGTTCGGTCTGAGGCCAGATTTGAACTCAGGTCCAACATCCTTCTAAGAAGAATAGGCCTCCTTCTTAAACTGGAAAGTATCTACCACATCCTTACCATTCTCCAGAACCCATTTTTACTGCAGACACACAGACACACAAAGACACACAGACACAGACACAGACACAGACACACACACACAGACATACAGACACACAGAGACACAGACACACAAAGACACACAGACACAGATACATACAGACACAGACACACAAAGACACACAGACACAGACACAGACACAGACAGACAGACAGACAGACACATACACACACACACACACACACACACAGATTACCTAAGGAGGCTGGATGAGCTGCCAGTGTGAGATCGGTCATTCTCTCTGTTTGCAATGATGGCTTTCCATGTTTTTCCACTAAGCTCACTTGGTGTAACACCTTGTCGGAAATAAACTGCTCGATCATCACATCCAATTCCCCAAACCTAAAACAAGGAGGAAACAAGATATCTGGAGTCAAATCAATAAGCATTTATTAAACACATAGTATGTGTCAGGCACTGGGAATTCTAGCAGCTAGGTGGCTTAGTGGATAGAATTAAGACCTAAGTTTAAATCTGGGGGGACCTTTTTTTTTTTTGGGCAATGGGGGTTAAGTGACTTGCCCAGTCACACAGCCAGTTAAGTGTTATGTGTCTGGGGCCGGATTTGAACTCAGGTCCTCCTGAATCCAGGGCCGGTGCTCTATCCACTGTGCCACCTAGCTGCCCCACTAAGTTTAAATCTGGCCTTGGACACTTACTAGCTGTGAGACCCTGGGCAAGTCACTTATCTTCTGTGTCTTAATCCACTGGAGAAGGAAATGGCAAACCACTCCAGTATCTCTGCCAAGAAAACTCCACGGACAGTACTGGTGTGCTATGGTACACAGGGTCACTAATAGTTGGACACACCTGAATGACAACAATATGTACTAGGCACTGAGGATACAAAGAAAGGCAAACAAGAGTCCCTACTCTCCAGGAGGTACAAAGTCTAATAGAGAAGAAAACATGTACAAATGTACAAGTTTGTACTATGTACAAATAAGATAAACGCAGCATACACTAGAGATGATCTCAGAGGGAAGGTGCTAGTGTTAGGGGGGACTTGGAAAGTTTCTTGCAGAAGGTAGGACTTAAGGAAAGCAAGAAGCTGGAGATGAAGAGGGAAAGAGTCAAGCACAGGATAACCAGTAAAAATGCAGAGTTGGGAAGTGGAATGTCTTATACAAGGAACAGCAAGGAAGCAGTCAATGTTATGGCTGTTTCTGGTACATGGAAGGGAGTAAGGAGGAAGAGGAAGGGAAAGGCTGGGAGGGGGCCAGGTTATGAAAGGCTTTAAAAACCAAACAGAAGACTTATATTTGATCTTTGAGATAAAAGAGCCACTGGAATTTACTGAAGAAGGAGGTGACATTTTCAGGCCTGTGTTTTAGGAGGATCATTCTGACAACTGAGTGGAAGATGGAGTAGAGTAGACCCAAGAGGGTTTCTATTCAGATGAAAGAAAGAAAGAAGTATTTGGGGGATTGTGGAGTGGACTTGTGATTTTATTAGCATAAGGTACTTCTGGTGACCAAACTCCTTCTACCAATACAGAACAGAACCTGCTCGGTAATTGGTCTTAGTTACTTGGCAGCCCTGAGAAGATGAGTGACTTTCCCAAAGTTACACGGCCACACAGCTAGTAATCATCAGAATCAGACAAGAGACTGTGGTATATGAAGGCTGGTAGAATGAATGGGGGTGTTTAGGCTGGAAGAAGAAAAGGCATGGAGAGAGGAAACAGAAATAGGATAGCTGTTTTCACATATTTCAAGAGCTTTTTAGGGGAAAGAGGGATTAGATTTTTCCTATTTGGCCCCAGGTCAAGAAGTAATAGGTAGAAACTGCAGAGAAGCCAATTTAGACTTAAGAAAAGTTTTTTAACAAGCAGAACTATCCAATAGTGCAATGAACTGCCTCAGGAGGTAAAGTGGTCTCCATCACTGAAGGTCCTGAAGGGGAAGCTAGATGACCTCATGTTGGGGACAGAGGAGAGGGATTCATGTTTGTGGCATCAGATGACCCCAACACACTCTTTAATCCAGTGATACTCGTCTTCTTGCTGTTCCTCAAACATAATAATCCATCTCCCAAATCTGAGCATTTTCACTGGCTATCCCCCAAGCTGGGAACTCTCTCCTACCTCGTCTCTGCCTCCTAGCTTCCATGGCTTCTTTCAGAGCTTAGCGAAGGTCCTACCTTTTATAAGAAGCCTTTCCCAGGCTTCCTTAATCTTAGTGCCTTCTCTCTGAGATTATCTCTAACTAACCTTGTATATACTCTGTTTGTACATAGCCGTTTGCATGTTGTCTGCCCCATTAAATTTTGAGCTACTTGAAATCAGGGACCGGTTTCTGTTTGTTTTTTGCTTTTCTTTGTATTGCCTGTGCTTAGCATAGTGTCTGGAAGACAGCAGGTGCTTAATAAATGCTCAATGATTATGAGGTCCATGTATGCATGCAGTTAATAATTATGAGTTTCATCTCTACATTCAAGTAAGCTAAGTAGAAGCTAAATAGAAGAAGATATTATATAAGCAGTTGGATGAATTTTACTCTACGGACCTAAGTCAGTGGCTATTCTGCTCACTTGGACAGAGCATGATGGGCTTATAGACTCAATCTCTCTTCCATGGACACAGCATTAAACACCTAACCCTGAAAGACATATACAGCTAACAAAGTGGAGGAAGTCTATGTTTGAGAATGTATAGATAAATCAGTATAAATACATCATCATATTAGAAAATACACCAAGTCCTTGTCCTGCTAACCGTAGGTTAGCGGTGTTACAACTATGTTTACCAAAGATGACAAATGTTTAAGAAAGTAACAAAGTACATTTTTAAAAATATATTCGTAAGTTCAGACTTTTCATAAATTCCAACAATGCTTCCCTACCCTGAGCAGAGGGTATAGATGATAACAATGTCTCTGTACTCTGCATAACATTTTCAAGAAACCATAATTTAGTCAGATTTAAAGAAATCAGCTTGGTCAGAACTTTTACATGACCTCTTTTTCATTACCTAGGAAAGCACCTTTTTTCCTATTAACCAACACTAAAAATACACAATACATTCAATATCTTTCTATGATGAACAAAAACAGTACCATCTCTGGCTAAAACTAATCCAACTCATCTGTGTGTCTCTGAGTCTACACAGTGTGGCCTCTTCTAGAGGGTAATTGGGCATATGCCCAGGAGCCTAAGGGCAAGCCAACTCTGCTGGCGTACTTTTTCCCAGAGGAGGGGAGGGGGAAAATCAATGGCCTGAGGCCTTAAGAATCCTGTCCAGTGGCCTGGAATCTTGGCAATCCTCCTGATCTTCTCTAAGAAGGCTGCCTCACCTGGTAGTCATTACTGCTATATTTATCCCAGGTGTTCTCATGGTAAGACAATTGCTGCTGCTCTGTACACTGACTCAAACACCCAAGGATCTAGATGTTCCCAACATATTCTGCAGTCTTACCTGGTCATTTAACCCTACGTTTACCATCATCATTTCTCCAACCATCTCAATCCAGCTGGTGCCACAGGGATTGTGAGAGTTGACACCTCTTCTGAACCAGACCTGGTGAAGACAAAGGAAAAAAAATACATTCTTCCAAAGTCACAGGAAAGGTAAATTAATTGTGTTTCACCACAAATCAGTCCAAGAAGTCATTTAAAAAAAAAAAGGCTGCAATTTTCACTGGCATGACAAAAAGCATGGTGAAGCAGATTGAGAGCCGGCCTCAAAGCCAGCAAAACCTGGACTTAAGTCCTGCCTCTGACCCAAACTGGCTGGAAGACCCTGGACAAATTGTTTAACCTCTCAGTGTCCTCCAGGCAACTCTCCCCAATTTGAGTTTCAGAGGAGGGCGTCGGCAGGGGGAGCTCACTCCCCCCAGAGCTCCCATATTGTCCTCTTCCTGACACTTACTAACTGCACAGCAGCTGGCAAGGCCTCTCTAAAATGATAATATTTGCACTACTTGCATCAAAGGGTTGTTGTGAAGATCAGATGAGAATGTCTACCATGTGCTTTGTAACCATACGGTGAAAGATGAATGTAAACTCTCATTACCTTACCCCATTTCTAGAATAGCTGAGCATTTGTTTACCAGAGAATCATTAAAGGTACTACAAGGGGAAAAAAACATTAACTCTCCAATAGACAGGCTGGCTGAGCCAAGACTGATAACATGGATTCTTATTATTTTTATTTTTTTTTTATTTTTTGGGCAATTGGGGTTAAGTGACTTGCCCACGGTCACACAGCTAGTAAGTGTCAAGGTTCTGGTCTGAGACCAGATTTGAACTCGGGTCTTCCTGACTCTAGGGCTGGTGCTCTATCCACTGCCTCCTAGCTGCCCCGATTCTTATTATTTTTAAAAATATATTGGTGCACTTGATTGGTTGGTTGGTTGTTGTCCATTCTCAAAGAGGACCAAAATGATATCACTATGTTGTTGTTAAAGGACAGTGTGTCTGACTTCGGCTGATCAGACCAATATGAGCTCAGAAGGCTCCACCACAGGTCAGGCACAAATAGTCTACATGAACATTTGGGGTGGAGACGTCTCTAAATTTTTAAAAATATATTAGTACATTTACTCTCCAGTAGAAGGGGTGATTGAGTCACTACTGATAATTTACATTCTTTTTTTAAACTTTCCTAACAGGCTGCCCTGCCTCTAGCCTCCTCCCTCTCTAATCTATCTCTCCAAACAGGTGCCAAATTCATCTTTCTAAAGCACCAATCTGTCCATGTTGTTCCCCTGCTCAGGAAACTTCTGTGGCTCCCTATTATCTCTAGGATAAAAATGTTAACTCTTCTGTTTGGCATTTAGAGCTCCTCATAATCTGGCTATATCCTATTTTTCCACATTTGTCCTTCTTTACTCCCCTTCATGTACTATGTTCCAGCTAAACTTGCTGTGCTCTTCCTTCTCCCCCCTCACCCCAGCCAAACCTAGAACGCCTCCCCTATTCACCACTTCCTCTTGGAATTCCTACTTCCCTTCAAGGCACAGCTCAAGGGCCACATTCTACATAAAGTCTTTCTTGATTTCAAATCCTTCCTCAAAATTACTTTGTCTATTTTGTGTTTTTTTACAGGTTATTTTCCTCCAGTAGAATTTAAGCTTCTTGGGGACAGGAATGTTTTCATTTTTATCTTTGTATCCCTAGCACTGTGCCTGGCACATAATAACAACAACAGTAATGGCAGCTATTTTTGACTTTAAGGTGTGAAAAGTACTTTACAGATATTATCTCATTTGAACCTCACAACCACCCAGTGATGTAGGTGCTATTGTTACACCCATTTTATAGATGAGGAAACTGAAGCTAACAGAGGCTTAGTGTTTGAGTAGGTACTTCCCAAATACATGTTGTTGCTATAAGATCTTTCCTCTCCAAGAGCTCTGAGATGCCTGATCTCACTTATCTTTGCAGCATTCTTGTTACAGATATAAATATTACTGGGTTCATTTTACAACCAGAAAGCCTGAAGTTCAGAGGTTAAAGAACTCATGCAATGACCTAGGGCCAGTGTTAGCTGGTATTCCAGCCTGATTCCAGTGCCAGTAACTGGCCTACTGACAGCTGTGCCCTTTCACAGCAGGCATTACCAATAGGCATGAAAGAGGGAGGATGCTCATTCCATCACCAGCCAGGGCGGTGATTGCCCTTTTCCCTTTGATGGTGTCTCCTCTGTCTATCAAATCTAGAGAGTAACCCAAGGTCAGAGCCCATTATCTATTTTTAAATTCTGTTGGAGCTCATAAACACTTAGGCATATCACAGAATACAGAAAAACCTCAATTAGCCAGAATGCTTGGGTGTTCTGGTTAATTTAATTCTCTGGTTGGCTGAAGGGTAAGACATTCATCTTTTCTGCAGAAAGGCTTTCTAAAATGCCTTTAGTCTACTTTCGGTTCTCAGGAAGTGGCAAAGAGGGAACATAATGGCATCTTTGCTATGAAGCTGTGGCTCTTGACTGACCTCCAGAGTCATGACTTTAAACATGAATTTTCAGTATCTGAAACTAGAAGAAAATATGGATGAAACAGAGGAGCCTGACCCCGATGCATCTTCAGGAAGTTCTAATTAATTGAAGGCTCATTTTTATATTAAATCAAATGGTCTCTATCATTTGTGCTACAGTTGTTTCTCATCTTGGCATCTCTGGGCATGGGGAAAAGGTTCTACAGTCACGAGTCAAACATGTTAAGTAAGAGGTCAGAAGTCATGCTACAATTCAGAAGGCTGCACAGTACTTCTGGGTAGTTATCACATGCCCCAGAAATTACAATTTCAACAGACAATACAAGTTATTTGGCTGTCTACTTTATTCTATGTCAAGAATGGAGTCATAAAATCAATGAAAAGTAATAATATATTAATATCACAAAAGGGAGCAAAATCTAGTCTTCAGATACCCTCCAACTCTTACTTTTCTGTCTTTAGTGACTGCCCAGACCACGTTGACACCAACAGAGATGTGCATGATTCCATTTTCAGGCACTGGTGGTTCCACTATTGACCAGGAACTGCCTATATGCACCCAAAATAAAAACAGAAGAAACCTAAGATCAGGCAAGAGTCCCCGAGGGCTCTCTGAGCTTTCAGGGGACATAAGACTCTGAGCTAGATACCATCAGCTCATTACCTTTGGGGTTATTTCTATCAATTCCTTCTCGGACCATTGCTTGCCCTTCCCAAAGAGTGGCCCAAAGGAGATCATAGGGCCCACAACTGATTTGCACAGCTTCCCCAGGGGTTTCTACAAGTGACCAAGAAGAGCCCTCAGGGTTTGGGTGGCAGACATCTTCTCTGTACCATACCTAGAAAGCAAGAAAAATGCATGATGGAAAACTTTAAGTATGCTGTGTGCCACTGTGAGGAACTCTTTCTGATCCATAGCTCTAAATCAGGGCAGAATTTCCCCTCCAACAGAGACTATGCTCTGTATTCCTTAAACAGCATTTATTTATGTAAGAGGCTATAGGTTTCTGACAGTTCTCAGTGACTTTGCTTTGGGTCAAGGGAAGACTAACATTTTCTTATGTTCACTTTGACTATGTAAACTGCCTAAGGCAGAGTCAGGGCAGTTGTCACTATGTTTGCCTTGATATTTAGAAAACCGGATGAGATTCAATACTACCATCAAAACTTTAAATAAACTCAGCAAGAACTCCCCAACTTTCACTGAGACTTGGCCTTCCGAAGATGTGTCTAACCCAGAAGATTTAAAACCTGTTCCTAAAGCCTGGGAGGAAGGCTGAAAGAAGTCATTCTGGCTCCATAGCTATCTGCCTCCCACACGCAGCACTGGAATCTTTAAACAGAATGTGGCTCTTCATCCCCCAGTTCTCAAACTAAGTATTATGACTGCTTTCAAGCTCAAAGTGTAAAGTGCTGGCCTTTGACCGCATCGGCCTATACTAAGCAGAAGATATACTAAGCACTCTGCTACATACAGTTGCAACATACACATAATCCTATACGTACAACTGCATACACAAATGCCTACATGCAGATATACACACATGTCCCAAACCTGCACACACCTACCAGCTTTTAAATAGCCCATGGTTCAAGGGCTGAGACTAGACTGCAAATGGTGGCAGCATATTTTGTCCTGTATGTCCCCCTAGTGGAGGCCGATAGTTAAGGCAGCCCTGAGCAATGAAAAAGCAAGTACCATCTGAAGAGGAAGTTGGATGTCAGAACAAAGCAAGGCAAAGAAGGGAGGGGGGAAAGTTAATGAGGGAGAAAGAGGATGGCACTGGGATCCTTCCAACTCATTCTGGGGGGGTGAGGGGGACAAATCTAGTCTAAGGCTCCAGGAAAGGGGTGGTAGAAAAAAGGAGATCCTGAGAAGGGCAAAGGAAATGTCTGGGCTTTGTCATATGCAAATATGTAAGTTTTACTGGTCCTGCCCAGCAGCTTAAAGGAGACACAAGGTGAGAAGAGGGCTTCTGTAGCCCTACCTTCTCCCACTCCTAAGAATGTATGTGTGATTCAACTACTACAGCCACCGCTGATCTCTGTCCTTCTTAGTCACCCATTGTACTATCCCATATGTTTTTTCACTCAAGCAGATTCAATTTAATAGTTAATTACACAGTTTTACATTATTATTTGTTTCTTGGCTCTCCAACCAAATTGTAAGCCTTCTTTCTTAAGGTCAGGGGACATGTTTTCTATTCTTATATCTTTGTCACAAAAGAGGAACTAGGTTCAAATCCTGCCTTGGACAATTATTACACAGGTAATAATTGACCCAGGGCAAGTCATTTAAATTCCCTGAGCAGTTTCCTTGGTTGGTTGGACTAACTGGCCTCAGATCCCTTTCAGCTTTACATTTATGATCCTATGAACACTTCAATAAACACTAATTCTACATTTATATACAGTCAATTTTCCATTATCCACATTTGGCTTCATGGATTACTTTGGCAAATTTCTGATCCCAGTCAGGCTACCCCTTATCTCTGCCATTTGTTCTTGGGTCCTTTCTTCTCCCCCCAGCCCCACCACATTCCCCAACCCAGCCCACCTGCCAGGCATTAACTAGCATGTGTACAGGGAAGCAATTGTAATTCTGATATCTGTCTAAGACAAATACGATTTGGAAGGCAAGCTACTCTAAACAGAAATGATTTCTGGATTAAGCATAATCAAAATCTTGTGGAAAAATTACCAAAAACATTCCAAAATCAAAATAGAAATTAAAAAAAACAAAAACAAAAACAAAAAACTGACCCGTATATTTATTCCTAGGGATACACTTGGGGACACATACCCACACACATACTTATACCCTTGTTTTGTTCCTGGCTAATTGATCTCATCTCCTCTGCTCAGACCAAAAGCCCCTTAGCATAATGGGACCCGATCTCCAACCTTTAAAGGAAAAAAAAAGGGGCAGCTGGGTGGCACAGTGGATAGAGCACCGGCCGTGGAGTCAGGAGGACCTGAGTTCAAATGTGACCTCGGTGACTCTAGGCAAGTCACTTAACTATAATTGCCTCACCAAAAAACAAAACAAAACAAAAAAACAAACAAAAAAACAACAAAAAATCAGTTATCTGCTCCATTATCATGCTAGCCCCTGAGAAGCACATAAAAAAATAAAAAACACTGTGCTTGCACTGAAGCAACCTGTAAGTGTAGCTGAGGAGACATTGCATACACATAAAAAGAGATTATTAATAATGTAAGGCAGAAATGCTAAGCTTCATATGAAACAGCATAAATAGTAAATGCTACAGGAGCTCAGAAGGGGAAATCCTGAAGAAGTGAGATAATCTGAGAAGGTGATATCTAGCTGGGCCTTTTAAAATGAAAAATGGGTAGAATTTCAACTTGTTTTTTGTTTGTTTGGGGGGAGAGGATGAGAAGGGGGGGAGAGTTCAGCCAGGTAAAAATAAGTGCATTACTTTTCATTACTTTAATACCATGGTATACTCATACATTTATAAATACACTGTGATATACAGGATGAAGACAGAGGAACGGAACACTGGAAACCCTATGCTGGAGGAAATCACGTATGTATGCAAGGATGGAAGAACTCTGACAATGATTATGATGGAGAAAAGAATAAGTGACAGTTTTATGCTTGTCCCCAGAAGCTCACCAACAATGATAGCTGAGCCACCAGGCCTCAACTAGTTGCTACAGGCACCTGGGCCAAGCCTTCATCTGAGTTCTAATTTAGGAGGATGAACAAGGCAGGAACATTCAGGGTCAGTGTTGATAAAGGCAACATGCAGGGCACACAGGCCAAGGGCCGATCCACAGAGTAAGAACAACAGCCTGACTCTGAGGACAATTGTGGTTTGGTATAACACAGTGTATGCACAGAATATTCTGGAGGATTATGGCACACTAAAGTGGAAGTTCTGCCATAGACCAGAGCTACACACAGTAGATGATCCATAAATAATTAAACAATGGCCTGCTGATGACAAGGTACTAGGTATCACCTTTCTCCACCTACACAAGAAAATAGAACCCATAGCGGGCGGGGAGAAGAAGTCGGAGGGGGAGAAAATTTAAAACTCAAAATCTTATGGAAATGAATATTGAAAACTAAAAATAAATAATAAAAAAAAGAAAAGAAAATGGAATCCATCACCCAATCTCAGTAAGTACAATTCTGATTGGACCTCCCCTACCCCTTCCCTAACTCTCATTCCCCACCCCAGGTTAAGAAAAAGAATAAAAATAAAATCCATAGTTCTACCTTGCCTTGCAGAGAAACTGCCCAAACAGAGAGTCGACCTACAGGTTCATCTGTGATTTCCCATCCTCCAATGGAGAGATCACTGAAAGGGTCAGGTAGCTGTTTAGGGTCATCATGGGATGGAATCTGAAACAAAGAGGGAAGAGCCCAAGAGGACACCAACTAATGGAACCATGAATGCTCCAAAACTTTCCTTCCTACCCTCCAAGTGAATGCAAAATTCAAGGATTTCTAATTTGTTCCCCAAAACCCTTTATTTCATGTTTATTTTTAAATTCCACATCACCATCATTACTAAAAGGTCCAAAGTTTCTATCCTTCTTTGACCTTTCATTCTTCTATTAGCTACGCCTGACCCATTCCCTACCAGTCATAATGCAGCAGACACATTCACCCAAGATTCTCCAAGACAAAGACTTGGCCATTTCATTGTTATGTAAGGCTATAGTATCATACTTGTGTAAGGTGAATTCCAAGGGCAGCTAGGTGGCACAGTGGATAGAGAACCAGGCCTGGAGTTAGGGAGACTCATCTTCCTGAGTTCAAATCTGGCCTCAGACACTTACTAGCTGTGTGATCCTGTGAAAATCATTTAACTGTTTGCCTCAGTTTCCTCATCTGTCAGAGAGTTGGAGAAGGAAAAGGCAAACTATTCTAATATGTTTGCCAAGAAAATTCCAAATGGGGTTACAGTTACGGAGAGTCAGACATGACTAAACAACAGCAACAAATAGAGCATTACACATATGTGATATATATAATGTACTATACACAAATAAGATTATATATATATATCACATATATAATGCACTATAGACAAATATAATACTACACACATGCATGTACATACATACATACATGTGCATACATATACATATATATATGAAATACAAGGACTGGAAAGAGGGACTAGATCACATACAATCTTCTGTTCTACTTTTTATTCTAAAACACTCTTTTTTGGTGTTCATTAAATTCAGAATAATTTTTTTTTTTAAATAGGGACTACACCTGTTACTTCATTGGCATAAGGAATTCCCAAGTGAGGCCATTTCCTCTACTAGTGAAGGTCAGCCCCTTCTCTGCTTCTCTCCTTAGAGACGTGCCTAGAGACCAGAGCACTGAAGGGCTAAGGGTGTTGTCCACAGTCACAGAGCCAGTGAGCATCAGGAGCAGGACGTGAACCCAGGTCTTCCTGGCTTCCTGGTCTCTTTACTCTATAACTCAGCTCCTCTATGACATTCATTTTATTGGCATCTTTTGTTTTTACATCACCTCCATTTACCTCTTCCTTCTTTCCCTACCTCTAATCCCCATGAGCCAACCTTGGAATAAAGAATAAAAAAGGGGAAAAAATAGCAGTTTATCAAAAATAACCAGAAGGACCTAGGTTCAAATCCCACCTCTGACTCATATATATACCTGCATGATCTTGGATAAGAATATAACCTTAGTTAGGCTTCAGTTTCCTCATCTGTAAAAGAAGAGGACTATATGTGGACTCTCAATCCATGATTCTGTGACCTAAAGGGGAAAGTGGTTGAGAAAGTATGGATGGCTTAATTCAAACCCAACTCCACAAATGAGAACCCCCTACACACACACACACACACACACACACACACACACACACACAGGAAGAGAAAAAGAACTTAGGGGTGTGAAATAAAGAAATTCCTAAGCTGCAGTATATATCCACAGTGTGTAAACAGACTATGTAATAAAAAATATAATGTAAGTAGCAAAACATTTTTTAAAAAGGAGGCAGAGGGAGAAAAACTCCACCCAACTTAAAAACCCACATCCTACCGATGGTGGGTCAATCAGGTGAGTTTTGTGTGTGAATGATAGTATTTATATGGGGCAGTGTAGGCTGTGAGGCATGGAGGGCTAACATGAAGCATAAGAAATGAGCTTGGTCAAGAATTTGGAAATATTTATAATATTTCCACATACAATAGCTAATATCATGCTTCTTAGCCCTGGAAAGAGCTTTCTTTTGTGACCTTCACTCAACTATTTCTGATCCACTGAGGGATGGATCAAAAAAAAAAAAAAAAAAAAGGAACAAGGAGACCTTGGCCCAAGTGTCCCGGGACTTGTATCTCCTGTAGCGAATCCACTTCCGCCGCCGCACACAGGAGTTCCATTTCTTGTCCCTAGTGTAGGTGGCAGGAAAGTCCATGGCATATGTCCATCCCTGAAACAAGAAGGGAGTTTTCCTTTGTGAGGTTCAGGTGGAGGAATATGGAGAAAGCATTGGGGTGGGTGGTCAGGACACAAGAAGGGCAGAAGGGAGATGGGGCAATGGATCCTGAAAGAGACAACGTCACACACAAGCACATCAATCATAGCAGAGCAAGCAGGAATGGCACACACAGCAATGGCCAGGGTGGGGGTGGGGGTGGATGCTAATAGTGGGGAGGATGCTAATTCCAAGTGGTACAGAGGGGAGAGCAGCATTTCAGAGGAGGAGCCTGGCCAAAGACATCAACTTCCTATAGGGAATCTAAGTGGGTGGGTATTTGAGTCACCTACCCCTTTCTCGGTGGGTTCCCCTCCAAAATTTTCATCCACGTACCAGTCAGACTCCCACTCCCAGTGTGGTGATGGCAGCACCAAACTATCCAGCTGTTGGTGCTTGAGCCCACTCACGTCGCTCCACTGCCAGCGGTCACTGGGCATGAGCTTTTCACAGAAACCACCAACTGGATTCCATCGCTACTCAGGAGAGACAAGAGGGAAAATACAGCCTTCAATTGTGCTTTTGACAAAAAAAAGTAACAAAAGAGTGCTGGATTTAGAGTCGGGAGAGATTTTGGTTTCAATCCTGCCTCTTAACACTTAAGAGTGGTATGACAGGGGGTGGCTAGGTGGCGCAGTGGATAGAGCACCAGCCCTGAAGTCAGGAGCACCTGAGTTCAAATCTGGCCTCAGACCAAACACTTGACACTTACTAGCTGTGTGACTCTGGGCAAGTCACTTAACCCCAACTGCCTAAGCAAAAAAAAAGAGATGTATGACAGTAGACAAGTCACTTAATACTTCTAAGCCTCAGTTTTCTAATTTGTAAAATGGGGATAATACCTGTAGTACTTAGACTTCAACAAGGTTGTTAACTAGGTTTAAATCAGATAACAGGTGTGAAGTAATTTATAAACTTTAAAGCCCTACATAGATACCAGCTATTAATGATGATGATGATAATAATAATCTATGGTTTAACCAGGGCTCTGGATTGAGATAGCTGGAAGAGAAGCCTGTAGATGAGTTCTTTTCTAGGAGAGGGAGGGAGTTACAGGTGTCTTAAATCTCTGGGAGGGTAATTAGTTATAGCTATATAGCATTTTTATTTATTCTACATATATTATAATAATAGTTAACATTAGTATAGCACCTTAAGATCTGCAAGCAACACATTTTATATGTTATCTCATTTAATCCTAATCCTCACGAGTGAGCTAAGTATTATTATTATCCCTATTTTACAGCCTCAATTTCCTCACCTGAGAGACTGACTTGCCCAGGGTCACACACCTACTAAGTGTCTAAAGCAGAATTTGAATTCAGATCTTCCCAATGCCGAGTCAAGCACTCTATCTACTATGCTACCTAGCTGCAACTCTTTATCCTCACAAAAGTTCTATGAGTGAAGCAGGAGGGACAGGTATTTCTCTCATTTGATAGATAGTATTCTGAGCTAATGAGAGAGTAAGGACTTTGTCTAGAATCACACAACTGGTTAGTGGCAGAGCTGGGACTAGAACCCAGGTCTCCTAACAATCTAGTCCTACATGCCTAAGCACAGAGGGACTTGATGCTCCATGGAGATTGTCTCTTCCTAGTAGAAAGGCTCTGGCCATGTCCCAGAAGAGGAACTGTTTACATTTACATTTTAATCTCAGCCCCAAACATCTTAGAAAACCAACTAGCCCTCAAACATCTAAGTTGCCTTTCTTTGTATCCCTGACACTTAAGAAAGTGCTTGGCAAATAGTAAGGCTTTAACAAACACCTATAGACTGAGTGATGAGAAACTCCACCTTCTGATATTTTAATTCTTATTTATTGAGCTTGGGACATAAAAGAGGAAATTAAACTTCGGTCTGTTGGAGAAAAAGGGAAATAGGAATAAAACAATGAACCATTTTCTCTGCCTGCCAAAAGTTAAGGGTTATTGCTCAATTTTGCTTTTCATAGAAACAGACTACTAGTACTAGAAGGGACCTTAGAGAGCAAGGGGTCCAACCCCTACATTTTACAGAGGAGGAATCTGAAGCCTAGAAAGATAAAGTGACTTGCCCAAACTCACCCAGCACCATGACTACTATTCCTGATTTGGAGCCCAGGAATCTTTCCATTACACAAGGCCCCTCTGGCATTTTTTCATTTTTAACTTTAAATCAAACCAAGTTTGATTTAATCATACAGAAGGCAAGTGAACTTAAACCTCCATGGAGACGGAACTCTGGGGAGCCCCTACCTGGTTCTCATAGGTTTCCTCCCGGTGCCGGATGGGGACATCACTAGAGCACACATACACATAGACTTGATTGTCACAAGCAATCCCCCAGCAGCACTGCTTTACTGCGCTGACTCGCTTGAACTCTAGATGGGCATCCTTGCAGAGTTCCCAGTACTGGCCAGCTGTGGCAAGTGTGTACACTCTCCCAAAAATATCCACAGCCCACAGCAAGGAATTTGGCATGGTTGGGCAGCAGCTGAGCAAAAGAAACACCAAATTAGTAGGTAGTCAGTGCCTCCAGTCTTCCCCACCTCTCCACGGGTCCAGCTAAATAGCTCCTACGTGTGAAAAAGCCTGAATAACTCACTGGTGGTGAGTTACATAACTCACTTCACAATTTGGCTTCAGCCTACTTCTGCAGACTTATTATATATGACTTCCCTTCACACACTTTAAGACAAAATGGTTTACATGATGTTCCTCACAAATGATTCTGTATCTCTCACCTTCTAACCTTTTGCACAGGTTGTCCTGTATGCCTGGAACTCCCTTCCCTCCCTTATGCCTCATTAACCTCTCACTTCCTTCCAGGCTCAGCTCAATCTCCACAAGAAGCATATCCTTATCTCATTGACTGTGCCCTTCTCACCAAAATATTTACTTCGCAGATATTTAGTATTTTCTTACCTACATAAAAGTTCCAAGGGAATGTAAATTCCATGTCTTTGAATTCCCTAGGACAATGCCTGGCATAAGGTAGGTGTTTAGCATATGCCTATTAAATGAATAAAGGTATTCAGTGGACAGTGTCCTTGGGAATCTATTTGGCCCTATGCTGTGTCACATACATATTTGGTGACTTCAATGCAAAAGTGGGAAAAGAGGATGGTGGAAAAAAATGTATTGGAAAGAATAAAGAAGAAATGAGAGGTGAAATACTACTCGGAAGATTCATGCTTTTACATTACGAACACTTTCTTCCAGAAAAGAACTGGTAGGCAAACAATAAATAGCATACAAAAAATTAAGTTGATCATAATTTAATGGAAAAGTAAAGATTTGTTATTATTGTAAGGGTCTACCCTGAATCAGTTATTTGTGTACAGTCAGACCACCAACTTACTAGAGAAAAGATCAGAATGGTAAAAACTAGAAGAATGAAAATAATGAAAAAAAGACATGGCATATCATTAAAACAACTCAATTGAACTATTTAAATAAGTAATTGATAACAAAAATTAAGAAACGAACAACAGAAATGACACAGACACCAGTTATAATAATTTCACATGGAAATCTGGTCAGTGTAAATCAATTAACACAAGACCACCAAAGTATTTAGGAAACACTAGTCAGTATGCACAACTTATTTATCCAGTAGAGAAAAGGTGATAAACGAAGGCAATACCAATTTAGCATATAAATTTATGTCTAAAATCTTATCAAAAAGGGTGATGGATGATTTCAAGCAATATGATCTCACAAAGCAGAGATAAGCAGTGGAGGATAAAACCAGTTTAGAAAAAGCTTGACAAAATATCCAATTAAGCCAAGTCATCTCAAGGAAAAAACAGAAAGAAGACAACAACAACAAAAAGAAAATGGAAAATATTTGCAAAAATTACTATAACAAACTACTTTTACCATCAAGAACAGTAGAATCACCACATTTGAGCTCTAACCTCATAGTCCATGGAAGGGGAGGTAGAAATGGTACTAAAGAAAATAAACATGGGGGAAAAGTCACATTGGACTATACAGAGATGATTGTGCTGGAAGTGACAGAATGGTGAAGACTGATTCACAAGGAGAGGAAGAGACTCAAGGTATAGGAAAAAAAAATTCAGTTCCTACTAATGTAAAAAATTTGAACGAGAAAACAACCATCAACCTATATGTCTACTTCTCTTCTATAAAAAATTTTGTGAGGCTAATTAACACATAAATCAAGGGTATCCTCAATGACAATACGAGTAATTTTGCTAGTAATATTCAACAACGGACTACATCTTTACCATTTCACAATTGACCAAAGATGCTGAGAACAAAGGATCCCACTGCACATATCTGTTAAGCATTTAAAAATCATAATAAAACTCCATTTTACAGTCTCTCTTCCAACAAGTTATCTCTTATTGATACATCAAAATTATTCAAATTTCCTTGAAAGATACAGTAACAGAGATAACCCTGCTCAGTGACCCTCTGATTATAAACATCAGGAGGAGTAAAACAGAAATGTTTGCCAAAGGCGCTCTCCACTGTGAAGGAGGAGATGCAGCCTAGAGTCCAAGCTGAAGAAACACATGGTAAGGTCCTCCAGGTGCTCCAGCTGGAGTGACACTGTGCTAGTTCATTAAGACCTGCAACTCTGCAGAGTCTTCTGGAAAAGATTCATAGCCATTCAAATAAGCTTATCTGGAGATTGGTGTAGGAAAGACCAGAATGAAGAATATCTACTGCCCAGATTATGTCCATGAGTATATGTATCTGGGACAGAAATTACAAATGGACAAGAAGTTTAGCCCAGAGTTGAACAGAAGAAGAGAAAGGTAGATTGCCTCTCTGAAACTAGTAATCTCTTTTTAGAGACACCAATATTCCTCTGAAAATAAAGGCTCATCTTTTTTTAAGATCAGGACTCTACCTGTGCTGCTGTATGGAGTAAGGCAAGAAATATGACCATTTCCAAAGAACTGAAAATGAGTATCATAAAAATTTCTAGGAAAATGGGAAAGCAACTGGGTAGAAATTAGACTGAAATGAAGAGTTCTTAATTTTTTTTTGTGTCATAGATTCCTTTGACAATTTGGTGAAACCTATAGATCCTACTCAGAATGTTTTTAAATGCATAAAATGAAACATGAAGGACTGCAAACAAAATCAATTCTACACAAATGTAATTATTTTTTTTTTAAACAAGCTATGGACCTCAGGTTAAGAACTCCTGATTTAGACCAATATCATATATCCAATAAGCTCAAAATGAACATATGACCTGAATATCAAAAACCACACCATAAAAAAATCAGAGGAGGACCAGATCAAGTCATCTTTAACAGTTAAGGCTAGAGAGTGAGTTCTTAACCAAATAACAGATGAAGATGATCACAGAAGATGAAATAGGTCATTTCAATGATTTGAAATTGAAAAACTTTTGTAAAAAAAAAAAAACAAAAAAACAAATGCAACCAGGATAAAGAAAGGAAGTGGTCAATGGGACGGGGGAAGAAGGGGAGGGAGGGGGGAAGAGGGGGAGAAAATAGATATTTCTGATAAGGGCCTACTATCCAAAATATAAAGAAAACTAAAACAAACACAAAACCCAAAAATTATTCCCCAGTGGTCAAAGGGAATGAACAATTACTAAATGAAGAAACCTTTCAACAACAATATGAAAGACTACTCCAAATCACTAATAATAAAAAAAATGCAAATCAAAACAAATTTGAAGCTTCACTGCACACCCAGAAAATTGGTAAATCCAACAGGAGATGGGAATAGCCAGTGTTGGAGGGGCTACAGTAAATTGATCCAATGAATTTGAAAAGCAATTTGGAATTATGCTAAGAAAGTAACTAAACTATCCTCTTTGGCCTAGACATCCTTCTAGGAGGCATAGACCCCAATGAGGTAGAAGATGAAAAATATAGATGTTATATAAACCTAAAATATTTAGAGTAGCATTTTTGCACTGGCAAAGAACTGAAAACAAAATGGACGCTCACAAATTGAAGGCTAAACAAACCTGAATATAATGGAATATTACTATAAGAATTAAGTACAGTGATGAATATAGAGAAGCATAAATGATTTTTAAAAATAAAGTACACTGATATCTTTTATTTTTCCCTACATGTCCCAACATACTCCCCTCTCCCTTCCCAGAGAGCTATCCCTTAGAACAAAGAACATAAAGAGGAGAAAAGCTATACAAAACTAATCAACATATCAAAAAAGTCTGACACTGTAGTCAGTTCCACACCCATAGTCCCCTACCTCTGCAAAGTAGCAGGGGAGGTGACCTCTCATATTTCTTTTTATAGATTAAGCCTGGCTGTTACTATTGCACTTTATTCAGTTCCAATTGCTTTGTTGTTGTTTTTTTCCATTCATAATGTTGCAGTTGCATATATTGTTTTCCTGGTTCTACTGATTTCACTTTGCATGAATTCATATGAATCTTCCTAAATTTTTCTGTATTCATAATATCCATCATTTCTTACAACCCCATAATATTCAATTACTTTCAGGTAAAACAACTTATTTAGCTATTCTGCAACTGACAGACATCAACAAATCTTCCCATGGGGGAAAAAAGGCTTTCATGTACACCAAAAGTTGTAATAAATATTTAGGAGTACATGGTATTTCTTTTTATCACAGGAAGACTTGATACAAAGTGAAATAAAAAGAAGCTGGAAAACAATATACACAAGGTAAATGGAAACAACAAAGCAAATGAGAATTGAGTGCTTTAGCATCCCAATGATTAAGCTTGACCCGAAGAAAACATAAGAAAAGGCATTATTTGCTGCTTCATTACAGAGGCAAAGGTCATGAGTGTGGAACACCCCTATGTCAGACTTTTTTCAATGTGACATAAGTGATTCTTAAAAACCAAGATATTAAAAAAATTTATTTTTTAAAATGTACTTAAAATAGACCTAATTAAAAGAGATAATCAGGGAAACTATTATGCTAAAAGGTACCACAGATAATGAATTAATATAAAAAAATTTTATAGGAAGTTTCTCTGATAAAGGCCTCATTTCTCAAATATATACTGCAAATAGAATTGAGTCAAATTTATAAAAATAAGATCATTCTCCAACAGATAAATGGTCAAAAGATAGGAACAGGCAGTTTTCAGAAGAAAAACATCAAAGTTATCTATAGTTATATGAAAAATGCTCTAAATCACTATTGATTAGAGAAATACAAATTAAAACAACTCTGAGGTATCACCTATCAGTAACACCTATCAGAAATGGCAAATGCTGGAGGGGACAAAGGAAAAATAGGTACTCTAATGAAAAGCTGGTGGCATAGTGTACAGTCCAAACTGCCTGGTGGACAATTTGGAACTATGCCTAAAGGGCTAAAAAACTGCAAAATCTTTGACCCAATAATGCCATTACTAGGTCTGTATCTCAAAGACACCAAAGAAAAAGGAACTAAATGTACAAAAAATATCTATAGCAGCTGTTTCTGTGGTGGCAAAGAGTTGGAAATCAATCGAGGGGATGCTCATCAATTGGGTAATGGCTGAAAAGTTGGGGTATGTGACTGTGGAGGAGCACTATTGTTCTATAAGAAATAGCAAGATGGATGGTTTCATAAAAACATGGCAAGACCTGTATTACCTGATGCAAAATGAAGTGAGAAGAACCAGGAGATCATTGTGCACAGTAACAGCAATGTTGTAATGATGATCAACTGTGAAAGACTTGGCTACTCTGATCAATACAATGATCCAAGATAATTCCAAAAGACTTATGATGAAAAAATGTAATCCACCTCCAGAAAGAGAACCAATGAACTCTGAATGCAAATTTTCTCTATTTTTCCTGCTTTAAAAAAAATATGCTAACATAGAAATATGTTTTACATGATTTCACATGTATAACTGATAGCATATTGCTTGCCTTTTCAGTGGGTGAAGGAGTGGGAGGGAGGGAGAGAATTTGGAACTCAAAATTTAAAAAAAAAAATGCTAAAAATAAATAATTTTTTAAAAGATGTACCTCAAGGGGCAGCTAGGTGGCGCAGTGGCTAGAGCTCCCACCTTGGAGTCAGGCAGACCTGAGTTCAAATCCAACCTCAGACACTTGACACTTACTAGCTGTGTGACCCTGGGCAAGTCACTTAACCCCAATTGCCTCACCAAAAAAAAAGAAGATGTACCTCATTCTCTTCAAAGCAGTGCACCAAGTATAGCTGGTCAGTTTTGTTGAGTTTTTTTTTTTTATTCTTTGTATACAATGGCTTTCTGGAAAGGAAAGGAGAAAGGAATATATTGGGAAATGAAGGTGATGTTTCGAAAAGTTGCCAACAGAAATTTTAGAAGGAGAAGAAGGAAAAGGGAAAGGGGGAAAGGGAAATGGGGGAAAAAAAGAAAAAAGGGAAAAAAAATCATGCAGTGGAAAATGGAAAGGTACACAGGCTGCAATAAGTACCAAGAAGGAATTTTAAGGAAGCAAAATATGTTATGAGGGAAATGTGTGATACGAAAAGAAGATGGGCTGCTCACATGTGATGGACAGCCAAGGTCCTCCACTGGTCTACTTGGGATATCAGATGAAAAGTGAGGAAGGCCTCCCACATGTTAAGTAGATCTCCTATGCCAAATTTATGGGAAAACATGGACAAAAAAGTTCCATAGGAAGCATGGACAAGTTGCAATTGGATTGTCAGAGGGAATATTCAAATCAATGAAATTATAGAACCACTTGAATATCTGAATAAATGTAAAGCCTCCAACTTCAGTTAAAAAAATCAACCTCACAAATACAATATGAGAGAGGTATGAAAAAGAACTGGAGGTTTTGATGCAATGCAAGTTCAATCTGAGTCAAAGGTGTGACTTGTCAGCTAAGAAAACTAATACAATCTTAGGCTGCATTAAGAAAAGAATATTATTGAGGGCAAGAGAGATGACAGATACTCCTACTACTCTGCCCTGACCAAACTACATGTAGAATAAAGTGTTTTGTTCTAGAATCTAGACACTACATTCAAGGAAAGGTATTGATAAGCTGAAGAGTGTCCACAGGAGGACATCCAGGATGATTCATTTATTTAATGGGCATTTATTAAGTGCCTACTGTGTGCCAAGCACTATGCTAGGCTCTGGCTACAAAATCATGCCAAATGAGGATCAGTTGAAGGAACTGGGGATGTTCAGCCATGAGAAAAGAAGATTATCTTTAAGTATATCAAAGGCTGTATTTCAATTGCACAAGGGAAACCTTTTGCTTAGCCCCAGAAGGCAAAACTGGGAGTAAGCTGTGAAGTTACAAGGAAACAAATTCAGACTTGATGTCAGGAAAAACTCCCTAAAAACTTGGGGAATTTGAAAAAGAACACTGGCTCTGGAGTTAGAGAATTTGGGCTTCAATCCTGCCTCGGATGCTTATTCTGATCATGTGCCTGAGGCAGGTACCTTGGACAAATCACTTACATTCAGTTTCTTCATCTATAAAAGGAGCCAGTTGGATTACTAGATGGCCTCTGAAGTCTTTCCTAAGATCCTATGAACTAGACTACCCCAAAGTGGAACAGGGTAGGGAGGAAAGGGGGCACATCGGGGAGTAATGGGGACAGACTGAGATCCCCCTGACTGGAACTCTTCAGCCAAAGTGGAGTGACAGATTATGTGCTGGATCAGTTATAGAAGGTATGTTCAAGGACACACTGGACTAGATGCCTCTGAGGTTTCTTCCAACTATGAGAGGCTGTGATTCTTTAAAGTAGAATCAGGTCTTCTATGCTTGCCTTTTTTCTGGAGGCCGACCCTACTAAGAAACTGATCCTAAATTCCTTGAAGTCCCTCTCAGTTCTGCCTGAGTAGACACTTGCATATGCTTACTAATAACTATGGAACACTATGGAATTATGATATCTCAAATATACATCCACTTCTCTCTTCTGACAACGTGGCCACCTAGATTGTCAAAATATTTTGGAGTTACTGTTTTCCAGAACTAAAGTCCAGCAAGCTGGCTGTGTCCTGAGCTTGGCATAACAATAATCCTTTGCACTCAGGATGATATCACCTCTGGCAAAGTGTTAGTTCCCCCTATTTCCCAGGTCCATCCATGGGATGTTCACAATCCCTGCTCCTTGTCATTTATAGGCATGTAATCCAGTTTCCATCACAGAGCTCTGATTCTGTGCCACACAGGGTGGACACAACCCCCAAGACTTGAGACAATACTGTTTCCACAGGGCCTATAGGGACAGTAACTCAAGATCTAAAAATGATTATGTCATGGTCCAGCCCAGGATGTATATGAGACCTGGTTTCAGTCTCGCATGTTAAGCCCCCTTTCTTGGGGGGGGGGGCTTCCATATGCATAAGTCATTTCCCTCACTTCGAAATTAATTAAACTTCTGTTTGCTTTCTGACTCTCCTGTCTCTAGCCTGCTCTGTTTGTCTGGGTCTGGGCACCCACAGGTTAGAGGCTGGTTCCAGTCTAGCAGACAAGATGCAAGCCTTCTTCACCTCACACACGGACTATTGCAATAGCCTGCTCATTGGTTTCCCTGCCTCAAATCTCCTCCCACTCCAGTTAATTCTCTACTCAGTTGTCCAAGTGATCCTTTAATGCTCAGGGGTTACCATGTCACCCCACTTCCTACTCACAAAACCAACAGGAATAAGAATGCTATTTTTCTTGACATATTTTAGAAAGCTGGTATCTACTTTCAAATTCTAGGCTAGTATCCTTGAAATAAATGTAAGAATAACAATTCCTTAAGTAGCAACTGACAGGTCAAAATGATGTCAAATTTATTTGGGCAGTGACTTCTGGGAGCCAAGATGGCAGAGTAAGCAGTAAACTGTTGCAACTCTCCCATACTCACCTCCAAACAACCATAAAATAGAGCCCCAAAACCTGGAACAGCAGAATGAGCAAAAAGATGGGGTGCAACAATCTTTTAGCCCAAGAAACTTGGAGAATTGGCAAGAAAGGTCCATCTCACTAGTGAAAGGGGAGTGCAGCGCAGGTCGGGAAGCATCCCAGCAAGCCAGCAGCAAGCCCCACCTCAGCAAACCAGCAGATCCTGAGCCCCAGTGTCCCCAGTGTGGTGGAGCAGGCAAACACCAATAACAAGACAACACCCCCCGCCCCTTAGCATAGCCAGGGGACCAGCAGACTCCAGCTCTGAGAACCACCAGGTGCTCCAGTATAGCCCCAGGAAAACAGGTAGACGCCTACCCTACCAGAGGCTAAACAAACAAGCAGCCAGCCGCTTCAGCACAGCCCTGAGCAAACAGGAAGCCTCCAGCGGTCAGATCTCCAGGCTCCAGGTGCTTTAGTACTGTCCTAAACAGGCAGCTGCCAGCCACCACCCTACCAGGCTTCAGCGTAGCCCTGGCCAAATAGGTAACTTCCAGAAGCCTGACCACCATGTGCTTCAGTGTAGCCATGGGGAACCGCAGAAACACTCCACTGGGCCTCAGCACACATCAGACACCATCACTAGGACCTCAGCTTAGCAGGAGGTAAGCTGCCAGACCCCTACAGCCTCCAGTCTGCCAACTCTCACCCATGCCTTCAGCAGTACCAGACACAAGGGTCTCCCCTGGGCCTCAGGGCAACATCAGTGCAGCACTAAGTAAACAGCCAGGGCCTGCAGCCACTAACACAAGAAGCTGCCAGCCTAGGAACAGAACTCAAATTTAAAAGAAAGGAAAAAAGCAAAAAAAAAAAAAAAAAAAAAAAAAAGGACAAGCAGAAAACAACGAAGAACCCGACCACAAAAAGTTATTATGGTGACAAGACACAAACTCAGAAGAGAACAAAGTCAAAACACCTACGGGCAAAACCCCAAAGAAAAACAGGAAGTGGTGTCAAGTCCAGAAAGATCTCATGGAAGAGTTCAAAAAGGAGCTTAAAAATCATATAAGAGAAATAGAAGGAAAAATTGAGAAAAGAAATGAGAGTGATGCAAGATAATTATGAATTTGGGAAAGGAATTGATTCTGCAATCGGCAACCTTTTGCTTCTTGGGGACATGTGGATTTTTACTGTATGTATCACTCATTTAAAAAGCACATGCTTCCTTGTGCTGATTGTTTATCTGTAACTATACACATATATGTATGTACATATATAAATACTTTTATATACACACATCTGTCAAGTTAAGTAAAACAGTATTTATTATGTATCAGTTACTATGTATAGTGCTTTAGAAATACCTCAAAGAAAGGCAAAAAACCCAGTCCCTGCTCTCAAGGAGCACAGTCTATTGGAGGAGACAGTATGAAAATAACTATGTACAAACAAGATATAGACAGGATAAACTGGAAATAATCAACAGAGGAAAGGCACTAATATTAAAGGGGATTGAAAAAGATTTCTTGTAGAAAGTAGGACTTCAGCTAAGACATGAAGCAAGCTAAGGAGACCAGGAGGTAGAGAGGAATAAGGAAAGCCAGTGAGTCGGGAGAAGGAGTGTCCTGTTTAAGGAACAATTAGGAGGCCAGGGTCATTGTATCACAGAATACATGAGAGAAGCAGAGTGTAACTACAAAGAGAGCCAGGTTAAGAAGGGCTTTCAGCTGGGAAACAATTTTTACAGTCAGTGTCTCTGATAAAGGCCTCATTTCTAAAATATATAGAGAACTGAGTCAAACTTATAAGAATACAAGTCATTCTCCAAATGATAAATGGTCAAAGGATATGAACAGGCAGTTTTCAGATGAAGAAATTAAAGCTGTCTATAGTCATATGAAAAAATGCTCTAAATCACTATTGATTAGAGAAATGCAAATTAAAACAACTTTGAGGTACTACATCACACCTATCAGATTAGTCAATATAACAAAAAAGGAATATGATAAATGTTGGAGAAGATCTGGGAAAATTGGAACACTACTGCATTGTTGGTGGAATTGTGAATTGATCCAACCATTCTGGAAAGCAATTTGGAACTATACCCAAAGGGCTATAAAACTGCTCATATCCTTTGATGCAGCAATACCACTACTAGGTCTGTATCCCAAAGAGATCATAAAAAAGGGAAAAGGACCCACATACACAAAAATATATATAGTAGCTCTTTTTGTGGTGTCAAATAACTGGAAATTGAGGGGATGTCCATCAATTGGGGAATGGCTGAACAAGTTGTGGTATATGAATGTAATGGAATACTATTGTTCCATAACAAAAGATGAACAGGCAGATTTCAAAAAAACCGTAAAGACTTACATGAACTGATGCTAAGTGAAGTGAGCAGAATCAGGAGACATTGTACATA